TCTCAAATTTTTAAATCGTACACTGTATCTATTATCATTTTTTCTGATAGAATTTACAAATTTTGCGTCACTGATAATTTTTACCCTACCGAAATCCAACATTTCTTTAAAAAAATAGAATTATTACAACATCTATTAATTTTAGATATATAATATCAAAAAAATGCAAGAAAAGTTACCGAATTGTATGTATGTATAACCCAATAATAAAATAAAATATAGGGTATTCCCATTATAAAATATGTTATATCCACAACACTTTTTTGAAGTATATTGTATACTGTATAGTAATGTTAAAGTGTGCTTCTTAACCTTACCAATAATTTTTCTATTTAACATTTTGTTCTAAAAACATTAAAAAACGTATTATGTAAAAAACGTCGTGTAAGGGATAAAGGGGAAAACAGCCAAAAGAGGGAAAACCGACGATGAATACCATGTTAAAGACCGAATACCATATTAAAGATACAAAAATTTATTACTGTATGCGTTATTATTTGGCCATCGTTTTTTATATTCAATTGCAATTTAATATGTGTTTGGCTTCCTTTCACTATGATCCCACTCGGCTTGTCTGGTGGCAGGTTTGCGTAAAAAATGGATAGAAAATGTCTCGCTCTCGTCTCGCTCTTGTCTCGCTCTTGTCTTGCTCTCGTCTCGCGCTCGGCTCGTCAGGTCTGGACGCACCATAGACTGCCGGAGTGCTGACGTCACGAATGTCAAATTGCTTTTCAAACAAGGTTTAGTTCTTTTATATTTCTATTGAGCTCTTGACGTCACAAATTAATATAATATGTAAAAATGCCTAAGCAGTTAAATAGTCGGTGCCAAGAATTAGTGTCATCTCTGATACAATATTTTGAGAAAGAAAGGGACAATAACGGCCCGTTATATTATAATAAAGTATTTTAAAGTAGACCAGTGAAGTGAGTTTTTTTTTATTTTGAGAAACAAAACCTACTGATCTTCTATGGAAAATACTTATTAATCCTTGGAATATTTAAAAAAAAGTTGCCTATATATTTTATATCATTTACCACTCTTTATAATAGATAGTATTTTGAATTGCCCGAAACCCAGACTGTTATTAATTAAACAAAATATTTAAAACAATGTTTTTAAGACACCATTACTTGTTTTAAATATTTGTTTAAAACAGAGTATTAAATAGGTTTGGTGTGTAGGTGTTTATTTCAATAAAAAATGTGAAACACTCTTTCAAAATAAAAAAACAACTATAATACAAAAGGAATAAAAAACAGAGTAATCAGCTCACTTAATATTGTCTAAATAATAAATAAACTATTAATTCTGTACTACTACTTGGAGGAGCACCATTAAGGTTTCTAAAATCGAATTAAGTTTTGTCCTTTGGCTTTATCATTACTCAACATGATATGGTTTAAAACAGAGTATAAAAGTGTTGTAAACATATTTTCGACTTTGTATTTACAATGTTCTTTAAAACCATAAAAATTTGTTTTAAACAATAAAAAAACATGTTTTGTTAAAAAATATTTTTTTCCAGCGCTGTTTGAAACTATTTAAAACTGTTAAAACTGTAAACAATTTAAAATTTATTTTAGAATTTTTAATAGACCTTAGGTATAGTAAATTTTTCAAAAATATTTCTCTTCCAATTACAATCTGGCAACAATGCTGTCTACAATCAACGCACGTGCTCGATGACATGCAACGGTTTTTATTTTGTACGACGTATATTTGATTCAGCATCGCCGGATGGCGAGGTGAATGGCGCGCATCGCATCGAGATGAAATGCCCCGCACTATGTTTGTACGATAGTCGCGATGCATCCTACGCGCACTTACGCGCCGTTTTAAAACAGTGCGCGTAGGATGCATCGCGGCTTGCATCCTGGCGAGCAGCGCGGCCAGCATCTTGGCGAGCATCGCATCGAGATGCCTCACTATGTTTGCGCCCTTAGGCTTTTGAGTTAAAAATGGCACCGTAAAAAGCATATTCTACATAAGTTGCTTACTTATTTGCCCCCCCCCCCTAAAATAAATGCCTGTATCCGCCTCTGATATTAAATATAGATTTTTGTGTCCACCGTTTGTTCTACGCCAAGATGCACTTAACGTCTTAATGTCGCAATAATGCAAAATAATATATATTAGTTTTTAAAAATTTAGTTACTTAAAAAATCGTCGTGAAACTCAGCAGTGTAAATTCATCGTTTTACTTCGTAAGTTTTAAGTTTTGAAAGTTATAAATGTATTGCGCCTAAGAACAAAAGTACGAAAATATATTATTCAAACGAGCGTAACCAAAGTTCCTCGATATACCGGGTGCGTCTCAAAAGTGTGCGTCTCAAAATCATCACCCGAGGAATCACCCCTATCACTTTTTTAATTTTTTCGGATAAAAAAAACGAAATTTGGTATGTTAGTATATGACATAAATTAGGAATAATAGACGCACTCAATTATTTTTGTTCGCTTTCTGTTTCGCCGGAAATGACTACAAATTTTGATTTTTAAATGGCACCCTCGGTATATATTTCTACTTTATTCGTTAGAAAATGATATAACAACAATTTGACTCGAAATACCAAGTTTGTGGTACTAATTTATTCGTAAAAGAATGCTTTTCCAAATATGCTAATGAGCCACCCTTGCTCCATTTGAAAAAAATGAGATATGATTAAAAATACGATTTGGGCATCTTTATCTTTTAACCGGCCAGGACAAGACACGAAAACAATAGACGATCAAAATTATTTAGTATAGTTTCCAAGGCTCCTTGATTAAAAATTAATGTTTTTAACACAGCCATGGCACACTAGATTGAAATTTAAAATACGATTTTTTTAAACGAAAAGGTCAAAAGTTGACATATTCAGAGTGTCATTTTCTATCGAATAAAGTAAAAAAATAGAGTGGGTGCCATTTAAAATCAAAAGTTGTAGTATTTACGGTGAAACAGGAAGTGACCAAAAACAATTTTCAATTTTTTTATTTATTTTTTTTCAGTTCGTCAATCAATCCTAATTTATGTCATATACTAACATACTAAATCTCGTTTTTTTTATCTGAAAAAATAAAAAAAATTATAGGGGTGAGCCACTTTTGAGTCGCACCCGGTATCATTACTTACAAGATATTACTTTTAAATACTTTTATATTATTTGGAACGTTTGGTTTGGTGCCGTCCAGGCGTGTGCATTTGTGTCTTCAACAGAATGGACCGCACTTTAAGCAGTTTTTGTAAATGTTTTGTATAAATAATGCAACTTGAAATTTACGTTTCACTCCAGCTCCTGCCAAAACGGCACATTTCGGGACATGGGTTCCTATACTCAAATGACTTGTTTTAATGCCCTCTACAACCCCTTTCAGTTTGTCGCACTAATTGTGGAACACCCTGTATATTAGTATAGATTACTGTAACATTACTAATATATGTGTACTAATATTTATTATAATTGATAATATATTCTGTAGTAGCACAGTTCACCGGCAGACTGTAACGAAATGCTATTTTGGTTATCAAAAATTGAATTAAAAAAAATACTCGGGATCACATAAAGGTAATGAAATAAAAGTGGCGTGAAAGTAATATGATCAATCAGAACGACTTGTGACGTGATGAACGACTGAACGACAAACAGTGTTCCTTCGCATATTGTTATAAACGCGCAAACCTGATAGAACCTCGATATATTTATCGGTTTAAAACGTTCTAAGTCTTCCGATGCCATCTCTTCGACAGACTTGCCTGTCTGTCTCTCCATCCACCATCTCCGAGAGCTCTTTCCCGCGTAAAAGTGTCCAATCCCTTCCTGCCAACTCCTTCTCGGTCCACCCGGTTTTATTCTTCCTGAAGGTTTCCAGTTTATTAATTGTCGAAGGTAATTAATGTCGAAGGTTTCCAGTTTTTGATTTATTTTGGGATTCTTATTTCTGCCATTCTTTGGACATGCCCATGCAGGATTTCCATAGAAGCTATGGGAAATTCCGGACAAGTGAACTCACAAATCCGGACAAAATCCGGACGTCGCAAAAAAGAAACTATATAAATTTATTTATGAACTTTTATAGGGCGCAAATAATAGCCTCAGAATCAACAAAATATAAACCAAAAAAACATTCACTTTCCAGTAGTGCACCAAAAGCGAAAAATTTGAGCGCCAAAATATATAAATGGGTACCTTCGAATATGGGTGGGTTAAGTAGAGCTGTAGTACCGTAGAAGTCGGCTAACCCAAATGAGAGCTAAAAAAAGGTCCATACCGTAATCCTGAACAGGATTACGGGACATCGTTGCAGCCACCCTTAAACAAACTATAGGACTAGTTCAAAAGACCTTTTTTAAAGCACCCTGTTAAGAGTAAAGTAAAGATTTCAGTTAACGTCTCCTTTTTGCTGCCAGGGCTAATCTGGACGGGGCCTACTTTATTTACGCGGAATCCGAACCGCGGTCCTCGGCCATATCATGGTCAATGGCCTACCGACTTGGCAAGTGTCTAAATCAACTCTTACTCACGATATATCCGATCCCATCCGGCCTCGAACCGGCGTGAATGAGCAGTATGTGTCAATAGATTTTACACTTTTGCCTTTATTGGACAACAGCACGATACAGAGTTTCGAACCGGTCACCCGTCCATCCACTAGTATCGCCTTACGTCGCTTAATTTCGGTGTTCTAATGGGAACCGGTGCGATGTTTCGATGTAGCTGGGCCGTCGCTCCCTGTTAAGATGTATTCATAAATATACGTAAAAATTTGGTTTTCATTAAATGACCGTAATAATCATGCAGCCGGATCTTAGACTATAATACATAAAGACAATTATTATTATTATTTCGACAGACAACATCTACAAAATGACAAAAAAATATGTCTGTGAATTATTAAAATGACAAACCACTGTCATGTATTCTCTCGTTGGAGATACTATTTAATATACAGTTTTTTTATTTAATAGCCGTATTTCACGATTCTTAAGGACTTCAGGCAATAAAGAAAGTGCTTACTTTTATCAGTTCTTTATAATCGCTATCGTCAAAAGGTAATCTACCGAATACCATAGCAAACAGTACCACTCCCATCGACCATATGTCAGCATGTTGAGGCTGGTAGGGGATTCCTCTCAAAATTTCTGGAGACGCATATGCATAACTTCCGCAGTAAGTCTCGCTGAGGATGGGATTACCATTTTTCGGTTTCATGTGGCCTCGGGCAAACCCAAAATCCGATAGTTTGACGTTCCAGCCTTCATCCATTAGTAAATTTTCGCATTTAACATCTCTAGAAAGTACGTTTATAATAAACATTATTAAATCTAGTAGATATCGGATGCTAAAGGAAACCAAATACAACATGAAAAGATAGGTCGTGAATTTATTACTAGATTACAAATTATTTTTTTAAGTTGAAAGAGTAAGGTCGTTAGGTCGTGTTTATGCTGGGGCTGTTGGAACATAAACTATAAAGGCAAAAATATTAGCGAAGCAACAAAATAAAATGTATTTTGTTTGTAAGTGTTTGTAAGTACATCGGCACTATTTTGTAGCTCATTGATAAGATCAGCAAAAGAGAGAGATTTCAATGGAAGAGGTTTCCAGAGCCCCAGGTTTTTTCAATTCTTCCAGATATTTTCTATAACATGGACTTAAAAGTTTCCGGGTTCATACACCCGTAGGACTCTTAAATGAAAATTATTTAAATTATAAAATTCTTCAAATTTACTCCGAAATGTGTTGATAAGATATGCACAGTATACAGGGTGTCCCAGGCAGAACGTGCATCAGAAGTTTCTAGATAACTACAATATCCAGATCGGAGATTTTTTGCACATCATTGTTTCACAACGGGATCTGCAAAAAATAGTTAACAGAAGTTCCACAATATATGACGTCACGTTGAACGATGGCTAAACATTCTATACCTCAGTTCTATACATACATACATACATATTTCAATCATTTTGAAGCTCTTTGTACAAGATATCTGGATCAACAAAAAAATCTTGAAACTCATGTAAAACAAAAGCTGATTTGTTCAAGTAGCAAAAATTTTAAAACCGAAATTTTTTCAAGAAATTTTAAATTGAAGTTACTGTTTTTTTATAAAGTAACTGGATTTTGGTACTAGAGGGTACTAGCACAGAATATCTAGCTACGCAACAGAAAAATATTCGAAATCAGGGCCATGTAAGTGAAATATTAAAAATGGTTCCAGCAAAAGTTTCCCAATTATGACGGATGATGGCGCTGATCGTCAAATTTTTGGACAGGGATTTTGCTTACCGACAATACGACGTGAGCTACGACCGGACCAGGACCAATCAGAATGATCAGTCTTTCTTGGACATTTGCCGCGGAAGTGTGTGTTAATTTCTGTTGTGATAAGTGTGGTTGTGTTTGCAGTTTGATTTTTCGGTTTTGATATTATGTTAAAATTAATTTTGAAGTATTGTATCACCTGTTTTTATGTAATAGTACTTTTTTTAGTTCTATGATTGTTTCTATGTTATGATTTGTTAATGTTTGTTTAACAGTGTTATACCAAAGAGGTTATACTTAATATACAATTTTGCAATTGGCAATTTGCATAGCCAATATACAATTGGCAATTTGCATAGCCTAACTTTTTTATCAATAAACTTTGTAGATTTTCAGATTATTTAATTCCTTTTGTTTCCGTTTGTAATTTTATTTTTAAGACATATTATGTGATTGTTTCACATAATGTGTTTTAAAAATAAAATTGCAAATAGCGAATAAAAATAATTAAAATAAAAAAGTGTATTTTACAATTCCCCCCGGCCCCGCACCCCTTTGGCTAACCTATAATGTCAGCTATGTCGAGAGATGGCGTTACGAAAATGGAACCGATTTATTACAAGGAACTTGGGCTTCTTTTTCGTTAGTATATTCTGTGCTCGAAATGAAAGAGCTAAAATTGCACAAATAAAATACTAGATGGCGCGACAATATCATAATCAGAATATAATTGGAAATTTTCAACTTTCGGTTTTGGATCGATGTAGATCGACGGCACGTCGACGGCTTTGAAGCTCGGCTAAAAATGCACAGTTGCCAGATTCAAACAGACTTTAACTGGCATCCCATTCTTTTTCTGGTGTATAATAATTCCTTTCTATTCTTCGTTTCTTGTCAGATACACTTATATTAATTATTCGTTTGGCTTTTAAAATAGTTTTAATTTTAAGTATATTATTAGAAAACATATGCTCTCAAAATACATTTTTAATATATCTACACTACTTTATTATGTTAACTAAGAAAATAACTTTAACTACCTTTAAAATTAATAATATACAGGGCGATTGATAGTGATATTTATTAATGCTGAAACGTTAGTAATGAAATATACGTTTAATAATAATGGAAACGATTTATTAAAATGCAGTACAAAAAATGTTAATTGACTAAAAAATACTATAATAACAATTTTTTTCTGTTTGCCACGTTATTTATATAGACCTAGGTAGATTTTAAAAAGTGACACAGGTACAATTAATAATATATTACTTAAGCATAAAAGTTGCTGTCACCGACATCGTACAATAAATTAAAATTCATAAAATAAATTAAAATTATTAATTAAACAAATCTTTATAAAGAAACGCAAGTATATCAAATTTGGGCCCAATCGAACGCCAGGAAATGGTATCGTAATATGGTACTACATTATGGTACCCCTTGATATGCTTCATGCTTCCATAATATTGCAATGTCATCAAAAATACGCAAGTATAATCAAATATAAGCCCAATCGAACGTCAGGAAGTGGTCGTAATATGGTACTATATTAAGGTACCACTTTATATATGCATCATAGTAGATGCATTATAGTACCATCATATTACAATGTCACCGAAGATACTTACTATACCAAGTTAAGCCCAATCGAACGCCAGAAAATGGTATCGTATATGGTACTATTATGGTACCTCTTGATAAGCTTCATGGTACCATAATATTGCAATGTCATCAAAAATATGCAAGTATATATCAAATATGAGCCCAAATGAACGTCAGAAAGTGGTATCATAATATGGTACTATAGCAGGTACCAATTTATTTGCTCCATGGTGCCATCATATTACGATGTTACCGAAATTACGTAGTATACAAAGTTTAAGCTCAATCAAACGCCAGGAAATGGTATCGTAATATGGTACTACATTATGGTACCCCTTGATATGCTTCATGGTACCATAATATTGTAATGTCATCAAAAATACGCAAGTATAATCAAATATGAGCCCAATCGAACGTCAGGGAGTGGTATCGTAATATGGTACTATATTAAGGTACCACTTTATATGCATCATAGTACCATCATATTACAATGTCATCGAAGATACTTACTATACCAAGTATAAGTCCAATCGCACGCCAGGAAATGGTATCGTATATGGTACCTCTATCGTATATGGTACCTCTATGTACTATTATGGTACCTCTTGATACGCTTCATGGTACCATAATATTACAATATCTCTGAAGATACGTAATATACCAAGTTTAAGCCCAATCGAACGCCATGTATCGTAATAAGGTACAATATTACGGTATCACTTGATATGCTTCATGGTACCATAATATTGCAATGTCATGAAAAAATATGCAAGTATGTATCAAATACCGTATGATACCGAAAAAAACGGCGTCCAAAAGCTGGGAAAAGACGAATTTTGACAGCGATTTTCATTTCACAGCCATCGCTAACGCCGTTTTTTCCCGATCATACGGTATGAACACAATCGAACGTCAGGAAGTGGTGTCATAATAGTAGGACAATAATTATTATATTGTCGCCGAATTACAATCAAAATTCAGGATTGAGTTAGAATCAAACGTCAGGAAGTGATTTTAAATGAGCTCGTAAGATTTAACTCCAACTAACATGGCGAGTAAAAATACTTAAACGTTTGAAAAAAGAGCTCTAATCTATTTTAATATGTTTAAATGATGTAGCAAATTTGAAACTAGGCTTTATCAGGAAATATTACAATATAAATTACACAATGGCAATACTGCATAAAATTCTTTTAAATTTCGTTTGTAGAAAACTGTTTTCTTTTAAATTTATCGCCCTCTGTTATGTAGTAGTAGAACTACCGCATCAAAATATCTGATTTGGAGACAGGCTTTTAAACACAAAATAGAAATCAACCAAAGAATTGATTTCTATTTTGTGCTTTTAAAGCCTGTCTCCTTTTGAGACCTACGATTTTATACATGTAACGAGGCTTCTGTTGCGTAGCTAGATATTCTGTGGTACTAGTAAGCAGAAGTAAGTAAAGAAAGATTTTGGTACTGACTTATACCCCAACCCTAAGTCAAAACCTAGCTAAGCCCATGGTAGCTGAGATGCAAGAAGTGCGCAGCAATAAATTATTTGCAATTAAATATTTGATATATCTACCTGTGAACTACTCCACGATCATGGCAATAATCGATAGCGTAGACTAGCTGCTTAAACCATTTTCTGGCTCGAGTTTCATCAATTAATTGATCTTTTCTGATGATATCCAGAAGACTGCCATTGTCTGCATATTCCATAATTATATAAACTCTTAAAGGTGTTTAAATAAAATAAATTACATAATTTAAATATTTGAACATTTCAAGCTTGATTTCTTCGGTTATTACAACGAATATCTATTTATACTTAATAGATTAGTTACCCAATTATATAATACTGTACGATCGAAAAAAAACGGCGTCAAAGACGGCTGAAAATGACAATCAATGATAATTTTGGCGAGGTCATCAATATCTAGACGTCATTTGCTATAAATTGACAAAACTCCTCAAGAATTGACGCTAATGATAGAAAAATTAAAAAAGAATATCGTCATCCAGACACACAAATTTATTTCCAAATAAATATAGTTTTTCTCGTATTTTAAACTACACTTTTTAAAAATAATTTTTACTCGATATTAAAATAAACTACAATTATCTTAAGGTCGACTGGCGCTAAACGCCATTAAAAAATAAAGAGTACAGGCTAAATAAATGACGTCTAGGGCTTGACCTCGCCAAAATTATCATCGATTATCATTCCCCAGTCGTCTTTGATGAAGTTTTTTTTATCGTATTGTACCTTTTGCGTGTCTAATAAAAATATTTTTTAAAATAATGTAATGTGTCTGTATAATTTATTTTCTTAGCTATATATGTCTTACCTGTGTGTAGTTTCTATAGCTTGTAGAAACCTAATGAGATTAGGGTGTCTAAGGCCTTTTACTACTTCAATCTCTCTAGGTAGAAACTTCTTTAAATAATCGGCTGGTGCAGAAAATTTACTTACAATCTTTATTGCTACGTTTCCCTCATGGCGTTCACTTTGGGCCATCTATGAATAAATAAAATTATGCTTTAGACTACGTTCCTCTGAAAATTTTAAGAAATTGTTTACAAATTCTTATTCTTACTACTGAATTTTTATCATCTGCGTATGGCTTATGATTAAACAAATTTGACTAACGGAACATATACTTCCAGTGGTTAAAATATAGTGATTTTGTCTGCTGTAAATTATCTGCTAGATAATATCTATAATTTTCCAAAAAAAAATAAAAATTAATTTGTTAAATTAATTTAGTTAATTTTAATAAAGTTTCTTATAAACCTCGTTTGTAATTAATATAAATAAAACACTAAAAATTATGCTGGTGCCTAATAAATGTGAAATTATATATGTAAAGTTGTAAATCTACTTAAGAGGCGAGTTATGAAGTTATATATATCTATGAATATTAGTTCAAAAAAGATTGACGATAAATTTAACATACACGAACGGTAGCATAGGACCCATTTCCAATGGTTTTTCCTAAAGTATATCCGTGAGACTCTAAAACAGTTGGTTTTTTTTCTTTGCTAGCATCAACGGGGTCCACTGGAGAGGCATTAGTAACATCAGCAACTGGCGGTTGATGTAGACTACTAACAGGGGAAGGCATACTTTTAAATAACTAAACATTTTACAGAAAATTTAACTGAAACATAATGAGGTATGACTAATAATTTAAATGTGACAAGCGAACTTTGTTTTGAAAAATGTGTGACAATGTCAACGTCTGTAATTTTGAGGTATATACCGTATGATCGAAAAAAAAAACGGCGACGATTTTCATTTCATAGCCATCACTGACGCCGTTTTTAATCGATCATACGGTATTTTTACTATGTTTATTTGCCTTCAATAAACCTATATAAAGAAATATTTTTCATTTATAATTTATTGATCAAAAGATAGGTAACTTCTTAACATTTTTTGAAATAAACATATGAAATATAAAATTTAACATTGTTAGTCCCTATTTTTTCACTCAATGGTTACAATATTTTTTTTGATGGAATGAGTACAATTTATAAATAACTTACGTAGCATATTGGTGTATTAGGTCTTAGATCTTATTAGATAGATAATTATTCGTATAAATATTATTAAAAGCTGGGAAGCTGGTATACAGAGTGCCCCTTAAAGAAAATAACATAAAATAGATGTAATATTAATCAAATATTATAGTAGCCATTTTAGTAAAGATTTTAATATTTAGGGGACTATTTATTGGACCATTTAGGTTATTATTAGGATTAGGTTTAATCTTTGGGTTTAATTAATCATAGTTAGTCCCTAAGGTTAGTCCAAATATAATCCATGTCAAAATTTTCAGCTCGTTGGTTCCAGACCAGATATGCAACCAGCACTGCAACCTGTACAGCCGTTACGCGGGAATTTCAATAATTCAACCTTATGGATCTCAGATTAATTTTATTATAGATATTTTAATAATAATAGTTTAATCTCATATTATTAATATGGGAGATATGTAATTAATTATTACTGTGTAACATTTACTGAAAGATTTTTATTAAAAATACTTAATTGTCAATTTGTTGCATCAGCTTTTTAACGTGAATATGGAAGTATTATGTAATCAACATTTTAGATTATTGCTCTGAGGATAGAAATATTGATTTTTATGATTTTCCATTTTCTGCCTGCTGCTTCCATGTGTCCTGCTTCTACCAAGCATCTACCTAAGTTATACCACTTTCTATAAAAACCAAACGCTTATAGGTACCTGTAGGTACCCGTCTATTTACTATTTACATAAATTACAAATTAGTGTAGATTAGAGCATAAAATAATTAACTAGAAAGAAGTGTCAACTCTGTGTTAAATCGTGGAAACACGATACGCCACCGAAAGCCTTCGTTGTCGTCTGGAGAACTAATTTTCCAATTGACAGGTTGACATGATAAGGACATGATGGCTTAATTTTCATTTCCGTTTCCGGTTATTCAATGGCGGGTCCTCTTTCAGTTCAAATGTATTTTGTATTTTTACTTTTCATAAATAAAACCAAAAAATTATTTATTCACATATATTTATTTGAAATATGGAACAACGTGACTAAATAAATATAAAAATATAGAGGATTGTATTGTTTCAATACCAATTAGTTAATTATATGTACTTTTAACGTAAATTAGTTAAGGTATAAGCATGACTTACAGTATTTTGTAAATAAACACACGTATTCGCAGACTTCAAGGACAGAAAACGGACACAGGAACATGAAAACGGGAGCCTTATACAAAAACCTGAAAACAGAAAAACAATTTTTTTATACTAAAATTAACAATGTAAAAATATCAATAGGTATAAAATATAAATATACTGTTTAAAAAAGCGTCCATTATTCCCAAAGAGGCCTGGCTTATAAATCAAAAAGAAGCAAAAAGAGACTTTTAGTCGGATAACATAATCAGATTATCAGTCCGATTTATTGCATTATTGACAATAATCGCACATACTGGAGATAACTAATGTTGGCTATAGTTAACAATGATCTTACCTTGCTGTAAATTGCTTCCATTTTCAGAAAAATCGCCGATCAAAGATATTATAATACCCTTTTCTTGCATCTAAAAAATGTAAAAACAGTGTTTATTTACTACCTATTTTTCATATACATGGGACATACCTACTACTGCAGAAACGTCGTTTTCTCCAGGATTCTTCATGTAATATATATTTTATATACTTTATTACCATTATATTTATAAATTTCAGCCGAAATATTAAATTGAACTTCCAAAACGAAACTAAACGGAATGAATTAAATGGCGTCGAATATTTTCGAATTTGTTCTAGAACAAATCTGAAGTTGTCTCTGAAACTGAAATCTGTCAATTCTAAACTGTGAAGTTAGACAATAGTTAGACAAAAACAATGCTGTCCTTGTCTAGGCGGCCATACTTGTCGTGAGGAGAATGACAGGAATGACACTAATGACTGTTTCCAATTTTTCTATTTCACTGTCACCCCCCTGGATTAGAGGTTATCTCCAGGACAGAAATTTGATTGTAATTTTTAATTTTTGAGTCAGTAAATAGGTATAGTTATCCGGTTATATTTCTAAAAGTAATCACTCTACTTTCATATTTAATATGGAAGGAAATAAACTGGATATTTCTGGCAAGACATCTTCAGATCCGCCCCCTTCGTCTTATAAACCTATACCAGAAAAAGATATGGAAGGTAAGAGTTATTTACTATATAACTAAATTATCGTATATACCCGAAATAATACTAAAATTCTTAATATATGTATACTAACGGGAACGGGGTTTAGGATGTCTCAAGTCTCAAACCTGTTTTGGATCATACCATCATTATGGTGGTAGGAAAGAAAGCTTCGTCAGCATATTATTTTGTTTTTTGACCTAATGAAAACATTTTTAAGAGTCCTTTGCAGACAGAAGTGTCTTTGAAGACCTCGAGTATGTGTTTATGTATAAAATATATTACAACAATATCTTAGATTAATAATTAATTTCACTTGATACTTTTCCAATTAATTACAATATAATTTAAATATTAATTTTACTAAATGGAGGTCTTAACTAACAGTCCTGTGGCTCTTCACTAGTTAAGTACTCTTAATTGATAATTGACAATAATAAATAACATTAAAAAGTAATTATAATGGAATTTTTGTAGATGATGCACTTTCTCGACCTAAATCTTTAGTTAAAGTTAAAACAAGCTCAGAGGCAGATGGTGCAGATGAAAAAATGTTGCCTCACGATAAGCCAGCTGAAATAATTTGTAACGAGAAAAGTCCCCAAAATGGTGATGCAAAACTTGATATTAGTAAGTATTGTCTGTCTAATAAATAGGCCTACCATTTAAATTTGTAGGTATTTTAAACAAAAATGTACAATAAAGTAAGATATTTTACTAGTTTACAAGTAATTATAATAACTAGAGTCTTTTGTGAATGATTAATTTAATATATTATTATATAATTGTAATTATTACTTATAGTAGAAGCTCATGTATTGATTAATTTCAAAGGTACATTCGGAAATTAATGTTAAAATTATTTTTATTTAAAAATAATAATTGTACATTTACTATATGCCGTGGGTTAAAATTTATGTTTCATATATATCTTCTATATCTGTTATTCTTCTACCGTATGGTGGAAAAATCGGCATCAGCAATGGCTATGAAATAAATATTGCTGTAATTTTATGTAAAATTATATGGGGAACGTTATCAACTAACAATGTTCATTTCCAAGCCAACTGGACGCCGTTTTCTTTTTTCGATCATATAGTATATCGTATATCTATTCTATATTTTTTTTTTAAAAAAAACGGATTGTTGTAATCATTAATTGGGGTGTTTTACAGTAATATATCAGATTACAGATTGTAGTAGGTAACAAGATTAAATAAATGTGATAATCAATGTTAAGTGCCATGTTATGGTTCTTAGTTCTTGTTGATTGTTCTAATGGTTCTTGTTGACCTTTACTTTCATTGTGTTATTTTATTACTTATTTTTAATATGATAATATGACTAATAATAATATTTACTAGTGGAGGAAAAATCTGCATTTGTTGGCTTAACTAAGGAAGAACTGATGAAATACGCCAATGACCCATTTTGGGTACGATTGAGGTGGTTCCTCTTTATCACATTTTGGGCTTTATGGGTAACAATGCTTATTGGAGCAGTGTTGATAATATATGCTGCCCCTAAATGTGATCCTCCACCACCAAGAACATGGTAACTTATTAATATTTTATAATTCATAATCCAAATTATATTTGCTACTTCTTTATAGGTGGCAGAAAGGACCTTTAACAAACCTGAAAGAACCTACACTAGAAAATGTTAAACATCTGGATAAAAACATTAAGGGAGTTATTATCACATGGCCACATGATATATATGGTTATTTAGATAATATATCCATTATACAGGCAATAAGTGCTGTCAAAAATCAAGGCTCAAATGTTATTATTGAACTGGATCCTACCACCTCCAATGTTTGGTTCAATAGATCTGAAAAGAAAGATCCTGAATTTATTGATTATTATATTTGGAAAGAAGGATCTAACAATGCCAGAGATGGTTCAACTTCTCCACCAAACAATTGGGTAAAATATTTTCTTACTAAGGATGTCAGAGTTCTCTAACTTCAATTTTATTTTTAGGTCAGTCAGAAGAATGTGTCAGCTTGGAAATATTCTGAAACCAGAAATGAATACTACTATTCTCCTTTTGATAAGCCTCATTTAAATTTCCGAAACAAGGCAGTATTGCAGCAATTTACTAATGTAATACAAAAATTCCTTGCATTGAATGCATCTGGTGTATCTATACACAATGCTGCATATTTGCTTGTGGACTCTAATTTTGAGAATGAAGACACCATAAACCCACATTCCACAGTTGGACATACGCAGTATCCATTTTATAAGCACACTAAAACACATAATTTGCCAGAAATTGGTTCACTGTTTAAAGAACTCAGATCGTTTATTAGGAATAAAACAGAAAATGGTCCCTTGCTAGTGGCAGAGAGTTTGGGTAAAGTTGAATCATATAAGGTTAATGAGTCTCTTATGGTGGATATGCCTCTTAATTCTAATGTATTTTCCAAGACAACGATTTCAGTTAATGAAACTGTAAATAGTTTAAACTACACATTCAATATTGATAATATTGAGTGGCCATTGTGGCAGGTACTTGCTATTTAATTTTTTTTTATTGCCATGAATTTTAATGAGTAATCATTGTAGGCAACATCCAGTGGTTATCCTAGGGATGTATTGAATATTGTAACATATTTGTTACCTGGAGCACCTCTGATTAATTTCAATGAAACAGTGGATTCAGATTTATTGAAAATAAGAGAAAGTCCTTCCATCATGAGGGGTATTTGCGGAGTATATGGTTTGCAAAACAATACAGTTTTGGCTTTCTTCAGGTAAATTAACTTGGTTTATATGTTTCATACCATTTAATACTGTATGATCGAAAAAAAAAACGGTGTCAGCGATGGATATGAAATGAATGTCGCTGTCATTTTATATGTAAATTTATATGGAAAATGTCATCCATTGCACTTCCCAGCCAGCGCCATTTTTTTTTTGATCATACGGTACAAATTCTCAAAAAAATCTGGTGTTTTAGCATATCTTTGTTATGAATATAACTTTAGCATATCTTTATTATGAGTATAATTTTTTACAGAAATATTGGCATTGTCAGAGAAAAAAATGCATGTATATAAATTACAATAAATTATGCAGATAAATTACAATATAGCGTCCGGCAATAGTGCGTCGGGCATCTGTAGCTCCTGGAATAAAAAACCTGGAAATTTTGTTTAAGTGCAAACCTAAAGTATGTACTAGGATGTATTTCAGGAAAATATTTTAACTTCTACAGGGTGGCTCAAAAAAGTAGGTGGATTGGGATGGTTTTTTTAAATGGAACACCCTGTACATTATTGCATTTTTGGCTTCCTTTCAATCGCTTCTCAAAATCCTAAGATATGAGTAAATTATAATAATAATAATAATATTAGTATATTTATTTTATTAATAAATATTAATAATATTTATTAATATCTCTGAAACTACTAAAAATGCAATAATATACAGGATGTTCCATTTAAAAAAATCATCCCGATACACTTACTTTTTTGAGCCATCCTGCAGAAGTTAAAATATTTTCCTGAAATACATCCTAGTACACACTTTAGGTTTGCACTTAAACAAAATTCCCAGGTTTTTTATTCCAGGAGCTACAGAAGCCCGACGCACTATGGCTTGTACATCAAAATAAAATTGCAATAAATTGCAATATATCAAAAATAAAACCTAACATAATATAAGCAAATATATCGTCCCATTGCTGCCAAAAGTCACTAACTTACTTTTTATCCCTTCCGAGAAAAATGCGTCTAAAGATGAATTGCATTGCATAAAGATGTTATAGTTAGTAACTATTCGGTATTAAAATAAAACATAAATAGCCAGAAATCGTAGTTAATGACTTTCGCAATTGATTCTCCGCTTCAAAACATAGTTAGTGATTGAATTTGGTTGTTCGGAAAAATGTTAGTTAGTGACTTTTGGCAGCAATAGGACGATATATAACATATAAAATTAAAATTAAAACACACTTAACAAATATAATTGAAGGGGTTAGAATCATAAGGGTCTAAGTACATCTGCCATTGTTTTGAGATAATTAAAGTTAAAGTTGATTGCTTATTGTAAATTCTGCATGAACGCATTTGAAATGATTGTTGCGTAAAAGAATGCAGTTCGTGTAACTATTTCATATACCGTTTGCCACAGACTGAAAAAAACTGTATTTAACTAGTTTTATGTCACTTTGATCCATATGCTTCTGACAACTCTGATCAATTTCTGTCAGGAAAAAAGGTATAAGTCGATTTTTCATAAAAATAACTAACATTTTATTATACAAAAAAGGTATCAAAAAATACAACACGAACTTTAGCTGAATAATTCTAATTTTCGTAATCCGACACCACACTGTCGTTGCTTTCATCCATTTCTGGATTTTCCTCAACTTCAACCATAACCGTCGTCTGATTTTGTTTTTTGGAACTTTATTTGCTTTTGCCTCATGGGGCATAGTTAAATAAAAGTCATGGTGAATAGGTGGAATAAATGGTAGAAGTTGAGTTCGATTTTCCCATTTTATGTACGGAATTTTCAATGGAGTTGGATATAAGGGCTTGAATACTTCGTTATTTAGCAACAAAGATGGTCTTCCCTTTTAAGCGTCGAGCAATTCTCGTTTTGACACATAGGTAAAAAAGGTATTCTTACTTTACTATACAAAAAATAAAATAAGTTCTCTCTTTTTTGAATCGGAACCAGACTATCTCACGCCACTTTATCGGTTTCTTTTCAACGTCCATTTTTGGGTCAATCATTATACTGTTAAGATGTTGAAATGAAACAAAATCAGTTTTTTCCATTTCATAAACAGTAAATTTTTTAGATGTTTTTTTATAACTTTAGTCCAGTCCTCTGGAACAAAAACGGTTAATAAAGTTTTCTTGGCTTTCTCAATGCGGGCAAAAGAGCGATCGCAGTCCATATATGAATGTCCAATTTCAAAAAACTTGTGATCTATTTTTTCCAGGCTAGTAGATTAGACTAAATACATAAACAACTTCGCAATGTTTTTGTTACACATTACAATATTTTCAAACACACAAAATATCAGAAAAACACAAGAGCCGGTTTGCACGCGTCAATTATACTGAATCTATGTGACAAAACTTTTTTATGAAAACTTTACAAAAAATGTGGGAGTCAAATAGATCCAAGTGCGCTTAGATCTCTTTGACACTAAGAATAAATGCGATAAAATTTAGCAACTTTTTTGCCCGGTTAATAGATGTCGCCAAACGTCCCAGAATCACTTGGATCTCTTTGCTAACAAACAACTACACTACATTTAACTTTGAAAATATGGGTCTAACTCATATTTTTAAAAAATGTAACTTAGACCCTTATGATTCTAACCCCTTCAATTAACTTTAATCCAGGAGTACATATAAATATAAAATTTGAAAAATACAAAAATTACATTTTTGCACCAACAATCTCATAACCTCTCATTTGAATTCAATATTCATAAAATGTCATACCGGCATATTTTATTTTATTCCAATTTTATCTCAATAAAAAATAATTTTTTAAATCTAACGTTTCATATTCAGCCTAATGGTATTGTGCCTCTGACATCACTTAGGGAAAGTACCAGATAGTAAGAATAGTAGTAAAGTAGAAGTACTGTACTATTTACATGTGTATGATGACAGTGGTGCCCGGTGGCGTAGAGGTACAGGCTCTCGTCTACCAATCTGAAGGTTGTGAGTGGGTTCCAATCCCACACCCGGCATTTCATCAGCCGACTATTTTTATTTTAATAAAAAAATTTTTTGGGTACCTAGGTCGACACAGCCTTAAATGAGTACTTGGGATTCACAATCCTGAGGTAATAATAGGCGGTTGAAGAGTAGTGCTAGCCACATTACCTTCCTATATACCGAACGGCTCTAGTATGGCAAGCTGTACCTTGCTACTCCCAAGGCGTTAAACGCTATACACGGGAGCTATTATTATTATTATTATGATTACAGTGCAATATTTTTTTTGGCAGTTAATATTTCCCTGCTATTTGGGGAATAACTACAATAACAATAAGGTTTATGTCGCAGTCACATTACTTTTTGCGACATAATAAATAAATCCTAATATTTTAAAGAATCTAATAAAAATAAAAACATAACGACGTAAATTTAATGTACGATGTAAAATTATGGTGACGCAAATTTAGGAACTCAAAGGATATTCTTCAGTGACGCCCTCTGTTGCTTGTTCCTTTACATACATATGCATAAATGACTAAGTCATAATATAACTTATAACATCGTTGGCCAACGAAAACACACCAAGTTTAAAAAATATTTTTTAGTGTATTTTATTTAATGAATATAACGCTGTTATGGGCTTAATGAATATGAAATTTAGTTAAATATGAAATTAATAATTATTTGAAGACTTAATAGATTTTTTCAGAAACTGTAATCTGGAACAAATCTAGTCAAATGATATAAGTCAAAAAGGAAAAAACTCGGACTTGGTGTTTTGCCTGTAGACCAACGATAGTTTAAACATAATAAAACACCGGATTTTCTAATTTTAATCGTATTTACTAATACATATTATGTTTTAATGCTTCCTTATTTAAAGGCAAAGGTAAAATATCGATATTTGCTTTAAAGGAAATACTAATAAGCATTATTATAATAGGGTTACACCAGGCAGCCCGGGTGTTTTTGTGGCATTCAATCCTACAAACCAGACATCTGTAATCGATATACCTAGCGAAATTCCTCCTTTGGCAAAGCTGGAGGAGGTCACTGTTAGGTATTTCAGTCAGAACTATAACGAGACAGCGTTCATGGACGTTGGGTATGCTATTTTTATTAGAGAACAAAATAAATATAATAAATGTTAAATTGTGTTTAGGGTTAAGAGGGGAGCAAGGTCTGTTCCAGTGACTGCAAAATCTGCAATTGTGTTGGAGTATGTACCTAAGAGGGAGGAGTAAACTTTTATTTGTAATTATTGCATTCCGCTCATCTGAAATAAATTGCTGTTATTGAATAGAGCGGGATAATAAAAATGATAAGTTGCTTTGAAACATTATTGTATTTGCAGTTAAAATATATTTGCTAGCATTAAAGAGTATATTTTTTTATCTATCAAAAGAGTTAGCAAAAAAATTACTTTTTTATTATTGAATTTCTTCAATATACTCAATAACAAAAAAGGAATTTTGTATCAAGTTTCATAAATATACAGGGACGTTTAAAAATACATTTTCTTTTATTTTTCCGAATATTGTCATAACTAGTATCACACGCAAAGTAAATCCAATAAGAATAATATTCGTTACTGTTTCGGAAATAATATTAAAAATGCCAAAGGCCTTTAGAAATGAAAACCTTCAATCTAACGTTTTTTCGTCTGTAAAAAGTCTAAAAAGATATTTTTGAGGAGTTACAATAATAAAAAATGTTCCCTTTTGTTGCGAAATATTTTAGCCCACCTTGTATATATTATATGAAACTGGATAAAACCACAGACTAACTTAAGTTACATACTTATATCTTAGTTTGTGATAAAACTGTAACTAAATTTAATAATTTTGCAATTTTAACAGAAGGTATTTCAACTTTCTTGCTTCATAACTAACAGTTTCCTTTCCATTAGGAACTTCATTTTCTTCAGATAAAGTAGGATATGCCACAGTTCTTACAGATTTTCCATGCACTGTAAATTTATATAAATTAGTGCATTAAATCGTGTCACTGATCATATTATTAATAGTTACATTCACAACTCTCCAAGAATTGTACACATTCCTGAATAATGGCATCCCTCAGTACAATCATATGTTTTGCTAAATTTTCGATCAAACTTAAGAAACACCTTTTTGTATAGAACCAAGTGTCAGTACCGAGTTTTTTGTTGTATGGTTCAAGAGATTTCATGACTCTGGATATGCCGAATTCGTAGTTGCCTTTAGAACAATACAGAGTCCTGAAAAAAAAGTACTTAGCTAACTTTTGATATTTGCAGCCACAGTATTGTGACCGCAAAGGTTTTTTTTTATCAACATTTTAATACCCTATAACAAGGTTAATAATACAATGATGAAAATATTTTTTATCTGGATCTTCAAAAGACATTTGATCTTCTTCCTTCTCAATTTTTCTCATTAATTCTTCAGCTTCTTCGTTTTGTGACGTCATTATATAGGAAACGCACAAATTTGCCAATACAATGGCATTAACATTCAAAATCTGAAAAAGGCAATAAAACAGGATTCTAACTCTTACTTTTCTTACTCTTACTTATTAAATATTTTAAAATGTCAGTTGCCGCAAATTTCAAGAATACTGTGTTTATCGGTACGAAGTACGGTATAGAAAAAATGTAAATTGAATATGTTAAATACCTCTGAATAATTTTTCTTTACTAATGGTTCGTAGAATCCAGTGGCTTCTTTAAATTTGTTTTCTTGCATAAATAAGACATGCGCAACGTTAAGTCTCCAGGTGTCGTGCTCATTACAAAATTCAGCGCTTTTTCGAAAAATCTTTTCAACTTGAGGATAATTTTCCAAATCCCAGTAAATCTTAGCTTGTCCCATTAATACTGGTATATATCTAAAATAGTTTTGAAATAAGGTCGCAACTATAGTCTATCCAAGGAGAAAATATGTTAGTTGGCGTTAGTTTCATTTATATTTTTTTTGGACTTCTCTCTTTGGCCAAACTTTACTTATTAAAATCAGATAAATTTAAAATTATGAAAGTTGAAAGTGATATATATTTACCTATCTAAACACTCTTCATATTCCATAATAGCTTTTTTGACAATCTCTATATCCCCTCGATTCCTGTGCTCTTGCACTTGCTTAGCTAATTTTCTTAGCTGTTCAGTATGCCTACTTGCTAGCTCATCTAATTTTTGATAAGCATCGCTGGGAGATGTTTGTTGTGTAATAATAGCATCCAGAAAATCGTATAAATACTGTTGAAATGTTTAAATATAAGTAAATTATATTGATGACTAACGAAAACTGCGATAATACACTATATAAAGTCTCTCTAACGAGTCAGAGAAGATTTTGAGAAACGACATCAAAAAAATAACAAAATACAATTTATCTGCGAATTAAAATTACAAACTACTGTCACTATCATGTATCCTTTTGTTGGAGAGACTTTAGGTATTATCACAAAGCTTGTTGGACAAGTCGTGTATCCATCTCTAGGTATAGTCTGTCCAAAGAGTCAGAGAACTTTTTGACAGGCGACATCCAAAAAATGACAGAAATTACAATTTGCTTGTGAATGAAAATGACAGACCCAATTGTCACTGTCAGGGATCCCCCCATTGGACAGACTATTTTGATCTTTTGATATAGAGATTTTTTAAACAATAAAAACATTTCATTTTAGTTCTTTGATGAGGAGAAAAATGTACTGCAATTTTCTTTGGATTTTTAATTGTTATATAACAAGAAAAGTAAGTGGATCTTACTGGTGTTAGGTATTTGTAAGTCAGGTGAGCGTTTTCTGCTAAAATATCAGCGGCCAAATCGTAGCATTCGTGTTGACAGTAGAGCAAAAGCAGATTGGCGAATGTTTCAGGCGGAAAAGGATTTTGCTGCAGTAAAAATTGCAGTTTTTCGAAACCCTCAGACGGATTTTGTTCGAAATTCATTAATGCCTGATTGTGAAGCGTTACAGCATCTAGCTCATATTCTGCTCTAGGTGGCATGTCAGTCAGGGCCTCTCTTGCGGCATCAACTAAGAAGAACCGTCTTTTAGTAAAGATTTTGCCAAAATTGAAGAAGGGGAAAGTCGGATTATATCGGACAAATTTACAAAATATCCTATTATTAAATGTATTCCATTCAAGAGCTTAATAATCATTGGACAGTCCTTTAATTTCAGTATAAAAATATGGTTTACCTTATATTAATTAATTTTGTCATAAGTTTTAAGTTGCGATATAAATGTCAATTTCTTTAGATATTATTAAAAGTGTCCAATCATACCCAAATCTCCTTTGCATTCTTACTATTTTTTAACTGATATTCGATAGCAGCTTTTAAGTTAAAAGCCTCAGTTAAAGATGTTTCGTGTAGAGTCAATGTGTTCCCCACAGATCTGACTTCAATACCTTCAGTTTGCATCCCTATACTCAATTCAGGATGATCTCTAATACCTTTTTCTATTATATCAGCTAAAAATATAAAAACTCCAAGAATTATGCTACTTTTATTATATAGTATCTTTTTTACCGCAATATTTTAATGAGGGGCCGTATTCTTTCAACCTATAATAGCACAAAGCTACGTTATAAGCTAAATACGGTTTAAATCCTTGATTTTGTATGGCGTTAACGAATTTTGCCAAAGCTTCTTCATAATTCCCATCCTATAAACGATACGAATAAAACATTTCTTATACGTTTAACAATATTTCTGACAAAATCGTTAAATCAATAATAATTATATTAATGAAGGGCTGAAGTTTCGTTTACTTGAAATCAATTGAAATTATATTTAGTATTTGGAAGCCTTTTCGAATAGTATTTTATAAAAATTTGTCTGCGGAAATCCTATTTGAGTGTTTCAACTTTAGAATAGCTGAAACTAGTTACATGAAAACATGTTTTTGTTTTTTATTCTAGAAATGTTTCTAAACATAGACACGCAAAAAAACTTCTTGCGGAAGTGTATACCATTTTCATTTATTGATCAAATATTATAAAATAAAGCCAGACGAGTTTTAGCTTATAGCGTGTTTTGATTGCTTTGGTTTGGTTTGTTGGTTCGTTTTTGTTTATTTTCGTTTTTTCTCAGTACTGTATTGATGTCTAAATTACAGTATCTACTAGGTTCAGTTCATACCTAAACAAGAAATATTTAACAAGAATATAAAGCAGGACCACGTTTTCGTATAACTGATTTCAGTTATTCTAAAGTCGAAAAAATAGAATGGTGCATTTTCGCAGAGAAATATTTATGATTTTATGTTTGGGGAGGCTTCTATATACTGGGTGTTTTTTTTTCTATAAGTGATTTCAATTAAAAAAAAACTTCACCCTAATGAAGTTCTCCATGGTGAAGAATGGAGAATTGTTTCTTAACAAGTGATAACGCAATTTAAAAGTACTTTATATAGTAGACATCCCAGGTTAACTTCTTTGTCAGGATCATCACTGGGACAAGCATCCACTAAGCTCTTGGCTGATAGAACATCTTCTTGGCTGTATTTAATTGCGGCTTGTAATTTTGTTACAGGTCCGGTATATTTTGGATTTTCAATCAGTTTATTTGATACCTAATAATATTTAATACACACCAATAAAATATTAACTTTTTTTAATATAACCCCCCCCCTCTGGCTCAATTTGGGATAAATATTTTATAAATATACTACCTGAAAAGCTTGGTCGTACGAACAAGCCTGATATAAAGACTGCGTGTAATATAATTTGTAGTCGTCGTTATCTGGATACATTTCTGTAAGCTGTTCGTAATAACTAGCGGCATTGTTAAAATCTTGGATATAAAAATAACAGTAAGCTAATAAAGATAATCCTGCTCTTGTAGAACTAGATTCTGGTATGCCATGAAGTATTTTAATAGCTTCACTAAATCTACTTTCTTTTACCTGAAACGTCAAAGTGTGCGTGGGCTTGAATTGGTTAATATTGTTACAATATTTATTTTGTCAGAGCGAAAATACTAAGAGAGCTTACTAGATTATATACAGTTTTTGTAAAATCGCCGTCATTAATTACATGAGCGGAATACATTTTAAAATGGAATGAATACTGTTTGTAGACAAGTTACGGTGGTTACTATGGTAATGAAAGTTGACTATGGGGCAAATGTCAACAGTTGCTAGGATACATAAGGGCGTACTTTTAGAAATACACAGATGATATACAGTAAACAATATACTGGGTGCATCTCAAAAGTGGCTCACCCCCTATAACTTTTTTATTTTTTCAGATAAAACAACGATATTTGGTATATTAGTATATAACATAAATTAGGATTGATTGACTTATTCAATTGTTTTCGGTCACTTCCGGTTTCACCGGAAATGACTATAACTTTTGATTTTTAAATGGCACCCTCGGTATTTTTTTACTTTATTCGATAGAAAATGACACTCTGAATCGAATGACATATCATATGTGATTATTTGAAATTGTAACATGCGGTTCATAACTACAATTTGACTCAAAATACCAAGTGTGTGGTATCAAATTATTCGTAAAAAAACGCCTTTTCCAAATATGCTAATGAGCCACCCTCGTTCCTTTTAAAAAAATTGAGATATTAAAAATACGATTTGGGCATCTTTTAACCGGACAGGACAAGACACTAAAAATTAGAGATGAAACGGATATCCGGCAACTATCCGGTATCCGGCCGGATACCGAATAGTAACTCATTATCCGGCCGGATACCGGATATTCAAAAAGTAACATAAATAACAAAAAATAATGTACTTACAGTTTAAATTGCTTTTATTTAAAGCTGAAAATAACAAAAACTTCAAAAAATCTGAAAATATTCATTATTTACTTTAATGAAAAATAAAAAATGAAAACTTCATATAGTGACATAATAGGTAACTAATAATAAATGAAAAAAAATACACAGATTTTAAAAATTTACTATCTTGATCTTTTTCTTTTATCAATGGGAATTTTAGAAAATTAATAGTCAAAATTAATGTAAGTAAAAATTTTGGCGAATAAAAATTAAATTTTCAACGTTTGTCTATAATAGGCGATTTCGCTTGTTGTCGTAAACCAAACCAGCTTCGGAAAACAACCTCATACTAAAAACACTGCTGCAAGGAGCTGAAAGGTATATTTTCGCAAATTTCGTCAAATTGGGTTAGTGGTTTGTTACGTTATTCGACGACCAACTGTAAGGGACCCTGTGATCAATTGGGGGCTGTGATCAATTCGATCTGTTTTCAAGTAGTAGTCGATCACGCTTGCAATTGGGTTTTCTCTTGATCGCGACATTATCTATTATTTTCATCAGCAATTTCACTGAAATAATCGCGATGACCGGATACCTGGCTGCCGGATATTATATATATTATGTCATTCGATTCAGGATTCCATTTTTTTATCGAATAAAGTAAAAAAATACCGAGGGTGCCATTTAAAAATCAAAAGTTGTAGTAATTTCCGGTGAAACCGGAAGTGACCGAAAACAATTGATTACGTCAATCAATCCCAATTTATGTCATATACTAACATACCAAATCTCGTTGTTTTATCTGAACGAATAAAAAAGTTATAGAGGTGAGCCACTTTTGAGACGCACCCGGTATACAGTACGTTCAAATATTATGACAAAGACATAAGGAAAGAGCTTCAAAATTAAGGATTTGCATATTTGTCCAAATAAATATAAAACTCAGAGAAATAATACAGATCATCACAAAAATATTTACATTGATCTGGTTTGTTAAACCCTGTATAACTACAGGATGAGTTTTAAGGAAGTGCAAATATTTTAAGGATGATATATTTCGACTCCAATAATATGTCAATGACGTTTTTTTCGCAAATTTTTTGTTCAAAATTTTGTATTTTTCGAAAAAAAACTGGGTTTTTGTTTAGTTTTAGTTAAAAACATAATATATTGATAATATAGCAACATAGATAGCGGATTAAAGTTACAACGAAAACCCAAAGAAAAACTAGTGGTTCTCAAAATTTAAGCCAAAAATATTTTTTTGCTTTAAGAAAAATAACTCAGTAAAAAATATCTTTATCTATGTGGAAATATCTATACCTTTGACTTAATTGAAAAACGGTAAAGAGAAAATATGTTTCTTTTATCGATGTACTTAAACAGCCGTTAAACGGTAGCCTACTAAAATGTCGTTAATAGATATTGTGACGTCGTTCATATCGGCGGAAAGTAATGCCTGGCATAAGCATTTTCAAGAGCACCTGTGGCTCCGTGGCTGAGGCTATCGCTTCGTGAGCGGATGGTCCATGGTTCAAATCTCACGCCGAGCAAGACTTTTTTATATTTTTTTGCTTATAGATGGTTTAGTTATTTGGCGGATTGGTTAGCGTGGTTATGGTGGGAAATACCCTGTCCTCCCTACAACAGGGGGATCCTTACCTACCCCAGAAACCTGATGCATGGGATATCCCAAATAAACCTGCACCATGCAAAAGGGTCTTCCGCCACAATCACAAGACTCTTTGAGAAAAACCAATATGTAATGGTACTAGCCCAGGAACCCTGGGTGTACCAGGGAGCCATAAGTGCGTCACATCAACGTCATACCTATTAACGGCATTTTAGTAAGCTACCGTTTAACGGCAGTTTAAGTACAGCCTTCTTTTATTGAGATCTACTAACACCCTCTACATTATGCGTCAGTATATTTTTTACCGATACAGCTAAACTAGTCAGGGAAATATTCGAGACAGACGGCGCGGCATCTAAAAATTTACAGAAAATACAATTTGCTTGCGAATTAAAATGACAGACAACTATCATACTGTTATGTATCCTGAATAGAAATAAGCTATAATCTGCCCAACGAGAGATTCCATGACAGTGACAATTATTGTTACAAGTAAATTATATTTTTGTCATTTTTTGGACGTGACCCCGTCGATGTCTTCCCTGTGGACGTCGATGTCTTCCCTGACTCGTTAGGCAGACTATAGTATTACAAGTATAATAACTGAATTAAAATTGACGATCTTCTAGGTAGATAAAAAAAATCGGCGCCGGGAGGCACGTATAGCCGCCCATAGTAAAATATGTTAATATCTCGAAAACTGCGACTTTGACTGATTTTGATGTTATTACAAATTTTGTTGCAAATATTATTCCTAATCTTAATTTGAAAACCGCGTTTCGCTAGCTACTGTAATTTTGGAGTTACGATTTTTTTAAATTTTTAACCGCCTCCCATACTCCTTACCAACCTCCCAGCCCCACCAAAAACTAATGGCCAGATTCTCGGGTGCCACAGTATTTTTGTGTCAAATTTGGTTGAAATCTGTTCAGCGGTTTTTGAGTTATCGTGTTACAGACGGACAGACAGACACCATGAAAATGTTTTGTATTTAGGTCATTTATGACCCAAATAACTCATTTTGAGTGAAATTAAAAAAACTTTTTTTTTGCCGATCTTAATAGGCTACCATACCTATTGGTATGGTCGGCTAATAAAATAGGATGAAATAAAATACACATGCACATTTATTTTCCGTTAAATATATTTGAAAAGCAACACAATAAATCATAAATATAGAAACAATATATTTAAATTATTTATAGTTAATCACTAAACTAATCCACACAAAAAAGGCTAGAGTTAGTTATATCACAAATATACATACAAATAAAGATTTTTTGGCCACATAATTTCTATCCATTTAAGAACAACATTTTGTCCAATTTTATATATTAAAATATATAAATAAAAGAGTATTTTTATCACATCTATTTTTTTTGTCATTAGAGATTCAAAATTCAACATAGGTATATAACTCAAAATAAATTTTGTATGAAAATATATTTTTGTCATGAATTATTTAAAATAAACTTTTTTTTTGTATTTGTACTTTTTGTCTTAGTTTTTTTTATTACTGAAAAAATAGAGAATATTCCACTCTTCTTTACTAACTAAAATTGATTATTAATTATAAGTTACAACCATAAATATTTAACCTTTACAAAAAGACGTCTTCAGTATTAGAACTAACTTCTACTACATTAAAATCAAAATTTATATATTTTTAACTAGTTAAGTGACCGAAGACAATGTTATGTAATATAGGTTAAAAATGGTCTATTCTACTATAGCGCTAGAAGGAGTTTGGTTTAGACCACAGGTACCATCTCCGCGATACACCCTGTAATATCCTTGTTCGCCCCATGAAGTTCCCCATGAATTTTTTACGATCCAATAAGGCATTGTCCGGTTGAACAAATTATATTCTGAAAGAATTGTCTAATATAAATAATAATTGTAAGTCTAAAACGTCCTCTACACTATGCGCCAAATAGTTTCAAGTAGGTCAAAATCAAATAGTAAAAACGGTGTTTCCTCGCTTAACTGTCGCGTCTCAGCTTATTTTCATGTAGTAAAACGCCTTGAAACTACTCGGAGGAGGCTCACGCGGGAGTTTTTTTCGGAACTTTCCGTTGTCTCTTGGTGTCTCATTCAAATTCGTTTTGTCCCACACCACTTCCACGTGTCGGTTTTTAAACCCGAGGCAAAGGACTTTTTTTATAACTCTGAGTGAAATAAATAAACTTGGACCTTTCTAAAATATCTGTTGTTACGATAATATTTCGTTAATTACATCTCGTTTTATGTTGATATATATTCCACAAAAATTAACATTTGAACATTTGAACACGCGTTTATAATATGTATAGCAGATATTCAAGAACAAAACTTTTCACTTAATCTGCAGGAATATAATTACAATATTATTATTATTTAATTTTATTATAATGAATAATATATAAAATTGAAAATATGATTGTTTACAGCCTTAATTTATTAATAAAAATGTAGTATTGCTTGATGAGCATTATGAGCAATACTGGCAACATCATCAATATATCGAGCTGATAGGGAAAATGATTGACACGATATCTACAAAAGTACGGACCACGGATATTTTTTAAACGCAATGACCTCTTATTGTTTTTAAGAGAAAACTGTAAACGATACTTTTTTATTAGCACCAAGTTTGGTATGTTATAAATCTATTCAAAAATAACAAATATATAGACGATTTTTAAATAGTTTTGTGTATATTTTCTTCTTAGGACGCAACACCGTAGGTTATAAGCCGATAAAAGGCAGACCGCTACGATTTTAAGTTTTGGAAATTATGTTTCTTTACTATACAGTGTGATTCAGATTTTACTAGAATAACTTCAGGTATCGATAAAACTAACCGAAATAATGATAGTTTGTATTATAAACCATACTCCAAAAACGTTTCCGCTTGGAGTAAAATGGCGCTAAAACTTGAATTATTTTTTTTTATTATTAAGGTTTTTATTTTGTTACTCGTAAGCCAGAGGATCTAAATACGCAAGTGTTTGGTTAAATGCTAAGGGTAACATGACTGATATGTGTGAAAAAAATTGGATTAATTGCTATACAGGGTGTTGCTTTTGTGAGTGTCAACTGCACGGAACCTTGTAGAACTTTTTTGTCGCACGCCACTGGATAAATTTGTATTTTTTTCTGATACCTTCCGTCTTTTTACTAACTGTTCTTGTTCTTATTTTTTTTTATATTTCGCTTAGTTTTCGAGATATTCCACAAAATTCCGGCCATAGTAAGACTATCATGGAAAAGGTTCAAAACAAAATGACACTGAAAATTGACATATTTTTAATGACAAGAACGACGAACATTTAACAATAAAAATACATTTTTTAAACCACAACAACAAACTTACAATAAGTGCTCGAAATGCATTCCTCCAGCCTCGATACATTTATTGCAGCGACGAATCAATATATTAACCGCTGCTCCAACTGTAATGGGATTATTTCTTAAGGTGTTACAGGCGTTCTGTATTCTTTCAATTAATTCATTGCGGATGTTTATTGGTGTTGCATAAACGATATCCTTAACATGACCCCAAACATAATAATCGAGGAGATCTAGGTCCGGTTAACGCGCAGGCCAAGCTACTGCCCCCTCACCGGGAATTAAATTCTGACGGTTGTCGCGTAGACGTCCTATCCATCGGCGAGGATAATTTTCGCCTAGCCACTGTCGCACTTGCCGTCCAGAGTGTGCAGGCAGGAGCACCGTCTAACTGCATCCAATTTTCTTCACGTAAATTTAATGGAATGTCTTCAAGAACTTCAGGAAGAAAGTTTTCCAGAAAATCATGGAACAAATTGACATTTAAGCGAGGAGAGAGAAAATGTGGTCCACGCAGATTATTACTTATAACGCCAATCCACACATTTGCACTGAACTCGTGCTGAAATGAAGATTGCCTAATACATCTAGGATTTTTCTGATCCCATACGCGGAGATTATGATAGTTCACGACTCCAGCTCTCGTGAAATTAGACTCATCTGTCCACAAAACTTTGTGCAGAAAATGTGGATTTATTTCGACAGACTCCAAAATCCATCTACAAGACGTAAGTCGTCTTTCAGCATCTTCAGGTACCAAACCTTGCACAGGCTGCAAATGGAAGGCTTTTCGGTGATCTTGCTTAAGAGCTCTAAAAACCTTAGTTGCATACACCGAGTTGTCGGGCTGCTCGACTTGTACTCATTGTTCTATTAATGTCGAAGACTTGAAGAATTCTGTTGTTATCTCTTTGACGACCAATGCGATTTTGGTTATTAGGAACGCCAAATCCATGTCCACGAAAACGACGATGCACTTCTCGTACAAAAGTGTGGGAGTGCGGAACTCTTCTGTTCGGAAGCCGTAGGCGGTATTCTTCAACGGCAGCATTAGAATTTCCATCGCAGAAACCATAAACATAATGCATGTCGGCGTATTCGGCATTTGTAAAAGTTCTGGGTATATTTTTGCACAATAAACTTCACATCTAACGTCACAAACAACAATGAAATTTATTTTGACTTAAGACCATATATAAGATACTATATAATATAAAATAGATAGGAAACTCAATACATTTTGTTCGGATCGAGCGGTGGCGCCATCTCGTGGGTCTAGTAACGAAATAAAACATAAATTTAAAACGGCTAGTTTCTATTTTTTCGGATTTTTCCATTTATTCAAGTAAATTGGTTCAAGAAAGAACCAATTTACTCGAATAAATGGATTTAAGTTAAAATGACAAAGGGGATATATCAAAAACACAAAAAAACTATAAGAAACCATCTTTATTGAACTGAATATAATAACAAAAACAATACAAAACATTATAAGAATAAAATATATCTAGATCTATAACAATTAGGGCAACCTATTTTACAATTAATTAACAATCTTAAAGGAAGGGAAACTATCTTGGTTTATACTATGTAACACGTGTTAACACTTACTATTTGATCCTTCGGAAACATATGCATTTGGGCATCTTTTTGGTAATTCTTACAGCCAGTAACACAACACTTAAAAACCACTATCTACAGTTAAAAATATGAAAAAACACAAGAACAGAGTCGTATAAAAATCAAAAACAAATTTAACACGATCTACGGATAACGGGCAAAATAAAAAATAAATTGACAACTGTTGACAGGTTAAATTTTACATTTGACGGTAAAAGACAGGAAAAAACAGGTAAAATTCTAAATTTTGTATTTTTTTTTTGCTAATTGCGCCCCCTCGTGCGTCTACTACTGGACCTTCGGCTACAACCTGTCACTTCCATAAGAGTTTCCTAGGCATGCTTAAGACAGTTTACACTAGGATGTGTTTTGTTCTCCAAGGCATGCTGCTAATTAAGTAACATTTTTCGAACGCAGCTGAGCTATGTCCGGAATTTTGTGGAATATCTCGAAAACTAAGCGACATACCAAAAAAATTTAAGAACAAGAAAAGTTAGTAAAAAGGCGGAAAGTATCAAAAAAATACAAATTTATTCAGTGGCGTGCGACAAAAAAGTTCGACAAGGTTCCGTGCAGTTGACGCTCACAAAAATAACACCCTGCATAGCAATTAATCCATTTTTTTTTCACACATGTCAGTCCCCCATATATTGTCCTTAGCGTTTAACCAAACACTTGCGTATTTAGATCCTCTGGCTTACGAGTAATAAAATAAAAACCGAAAATAGTTCAAATTTTAGCGCCATTTTACTCCAAGGGGAAGCGTTTTTGGAGTATGGTTTATAATACAAACTATCATTATTTCGGTTAGTTCTATCGAGATACCTGCAGTTATTCTAGTAAAATCTGAATCACCCTGTATATTGTAATTAATAATATTAGACAATGATTAAAACTAAATATTCTTGTGTAACCTTAGAGGAATAACTATATATTTCTATATATAATATTTAATATAGAAAATTGTTCAATGCAGTTTTCATAATTCAAAAAAGGGCAATAAGAAATTTGTGTGTTGTTGACGAAAGACAGTCATGTCCCCCTTTCTTTAAAAGTGAAGACATTTTAACTCTACACTGTCTTTTAATATTAGAAACTGAATGTCTCATGCATAAGAAATTCAGAGACCAAATTCGGAACGTGCCCGCCTTTAACACCACATCTACAACCTAACCTAACCAATCTTATGTGATTATACTTCCGATACCATTATCGAATTTGCTCCACGACTCCTTTGTTTTGAGGGGCAAAAAAATATTTAACAACCCGCCACTGAATATAAGAAAAATATATCCCCATAGGGCATTTAAAAAGGCTGTCAGGTCTCTGCTGATTGCGATGGCACACTATGACGTGGAGGAGTATTTCCGCTGATGTTTGGTAAATACGACTTACTGGTTTGACTGTCGGGAAATATTTTTATTCTATTTTATTTGAATATATTTCTTTTTTAAATTTTAGGTCTCTTAAAACTAATAAACTTATTTGTAATATTTGTGTATATTTTGTTTTTTTCTTCTCTACTGATATTGTTTGTCTATTCTTTTTTTATGTATTACTTGCCACAGCTTTGTAAACAAGAGAAATCTTAAACTAATAACAATAAAGCAATGATTAATTGACTGATTGGTTACATGACACTCCGTTACAAACTAATGATATTTTTTCATTTCCTATGTTTACTTATTTTGCTAAAGCCACCACAAAGTTTAACCTTGATTACTTCCCGAAGTAGTACGAAGTATATAGACGCGTACAAAAGTCTTGTCGAAACATTTCTCGAAACAGTTCGCGAGACAATCCCAATAACAATAAAAAATACACACCAATCATAGCTTGTCTCAGACGAAATCGCTCTGTTTCGGTGTTTGCGGCCGAGATTAGCCAAGATTCCCCGCAACATAAGAAAAGAATTGAGTTTTTCGAAAGAATACTTCTGAAGGTATTTAGAAGGTATTCAATAGTGTAGAGGCCGTTTAAGATTTGAACATGCCGTCATTTACAGTTTAGCTAAACAGTTGTTGATTAGAATATAACGGTTGGAGTTAAAATTAAAACTGGTATAAGTAAAATGTATATAGCAAATGAAAGAGGATAATACATGAAAGTAGGTAGATAGTAGCAACATAATAAAACTTACGCTTAACCCCATAGCCAACAATCAACACTCCATGATCCAGATTATCAGGACTACACAGTGCTTTCCAAGGATGAGAGACGCCTCCGAAATAGAACTGCATAGCGTTGGCGTTGATTGCTATGGAAATGGGACCATTCTGTACCAACCATTTAGCCATATCAGTTTCGTCGTGGCTGATGTTTACGGCTCCACTTAGCCTAACTTCGATTTTGGAAGAATTGAAGTGACATGTTTCGTCGTCTCCCTCGTAAGGATAGTCAGATTCGCCTTCTAAACCACCAAGTTTTTCTATGGCTCTGTAGTAAATAAAATATATGTATATATATTTTTGTCATAAACTGTAACAATCAGTTATAATCTCACATGACAAACTTTTTTTCCATTTTGTTACAACTACGTTAGAACTAATTTAAAAAATTCGTATTTTTACGTGAGGAATCTGAAATACCCTGTATTAATAAATTATGAAATACCTATACGCATTGTCCATCAGACCTCCATTGCAACCTTCATCTGACTTATCACAATCTACCAGTTCTTGTTCAGAGAATTCCAGCAATTTTCCATGCTTAATCGCATATTGCCCTTCAACATTACCTGTGACGCTAAAAGCCCAACAACTACCGCACATTCCTTGATTTTTTACTTCGGTCACGGCATCTAAGGCAATAAAATAATATTAAATAGAAGGTTAAACGATACTTTAACATATTTCTTACTTTTACTGCGCCAGTCAAAATTATCAGGCAATTTGATATTTGGTATTTGGGCCTGGGGAAAAGGTATATCGTTTTCATTTCTTAAATCCGCTCTATAACCTCTAGATTTTGAGAATTCTTTCTCTGTCATATCAGCAAACTGTGTAATGCCATAAACGGCTGTTCCTTGTTCATATTTATTGAGCAGGTCGATCTTGTTTAAGTTATCAGAGAAAACCTGAAAAATGGAATGTAAATAGTGTGATTTTGAAATGGCAATCCTTAATAAAGCATTAAATAAGAAGACTAAAGAAGGACCTAATAGTATTTTTCACGCTTTTGAAACGGAAGCGAATGGAAATAACGTATGATAAAAAAAAACCGCGAAAAAAAATTCAACAACTTGGTCAATTAAAACACACAAAAGATGGTATAATATGATCGAAAAAAACGGCATCAGCGGTGGCTATGAAATGAAAAACGCTGTCATTTTATATGTGATATTATATGGGGAATGTCATCAATCGTCATTTTCAACCTAACTGAACGCCATTTTTTCTCGATCATACGGTATATTATTTAAGAATTTTATTGACCGAACATAAAGCATGATCAAAAAATAATGTCGAATTATTGGTTATTAATTATCTTTCTTTTATAACTAATTATTTACCGTTAAATATATACAGGGTGTCCCAGGCTGAGCGTTCATTAGAAGTTTCTAGAGAACTACAATATCTAGATCGGATATTTTTTGCACATCATTATTTCACAATGAGATATATCGACTAAAAATATTTTCAATATGGCGGCACTTCGAGAAATACCGGATGTTGTCAACAACTTCCTTATTTTAAATTGGTACCCCAATTTTTTGTATATATTTAAATTCCTTATAAAATTTTACGAATTTTGATATCAAACACTCTATACCTAATATTAACCGTTTTTGAGAAAAAAAAATTCTAAAATATTTGAAGGAAAAAGACTGCGTGTCAAAAAAAATTATGTAACCTAAACGGCAAATTTAGTGGTTACCACAGCTACTGAGACATAAACAGAAAATATGTGGCTATCTATTTCAAAAATTAAATTGTTTGAATGTCATAATATTGGCTGTAGCTGTCATGGAATTGAGAGATCAAAAAATTATCAAAATTCATTTTTTTTTTTCAAATGGAAACTCACTTTTTTTATTTCACTAGTGAAAACGTTTTTCAATTCGTTACTTTTTGATTATACATGTTCCTATACCTAAAATAAATCGTTTTTAAGTTATATAAGATTTAGTTTAAAAGCGTATTTTTCCTTGGTTTTATCTAGCTTCCTTTGACTTTAAGTGTGAAACAATCAGACAATTTATTCCCTTCTGTCAAAAAACTAATTATTTTAATAATAACTACTAATATAATAAATACTGCTGCTAAAACTTTATAAAGTGAATTTATAAAAATACATCTCGTATTTTAGTGATCTCTAATGGCAATATGACATGACCAGATGTAGTTTTACATGGCTTGACATTTAAAGTCATAGGCTTTGAACCGTGGCGTTTAAAATTGCGCAATTTTTTTTTGCGCTGAGATTAATATCAGACGCTGTTGGGATACTGCACTTTCAGGGTACTATGCATTTATCTACTCAAGAATAATGGCATAATATGAATGGCATAAGAGTATGGCATAATATTTTGGGGAAACTCGAGCGATATCGGGAGAATTTTGCTTTTGCAAAAGAAATGCGTACGTTCAATATTTAGAATGAAACCCACGGAGAGCTGTAAAAATTATTTTATTGAACAAAAAATACTAACAATAACAAGTATATATATGTTGTAGAGTGTATAATGTTTATTTATGATAACTGGCAATTTTTCAAAAATTTGAAACTAACTCATGATTACCCTACGCGAAATAAGTCCTATTTAGTCGGAGATAAATATAATTTTAGCTACCTACAAAAAAATGTTTGTTTTTCTTTAATAAAAATGTTCAATTTCCTTCCCGAATGTGTTCGAGGTTTGGCAAGAAACAAGTTAAAAGCCACATTGAAAATCTTTCTAACACAAAAGGCCTTTTATTCACTAGAAGAATTTTACAGATCCGATAAAGCTGTTTTTATAAGTCTGATATCTAATGTGTAATTGTATATATTAATTCTATTGTTTTTTATTTCTTGTATATATTTACTAATGGTACTAGATAAGAATGAAGTAGGGAAAATATATCTTCGCTTCCAATTTTTGGAGAAAAATGTTTTTAAAATTTTTTGTTAAGATCTTAGTTAATTGTAGTATTATATATTATCTTAACTGTAATTACATTATTTTTGGTGTGTAATATTCTTATTTGACATTGTTTCCATGCCTGTTTGGGCTATTTTTTGTGTTTTATTGTAAACACTGGAAATAAATAAAGAAATATCTATCTATCTATCTACTGATTAAAAACCAGAAAAATATACGCTTTAAAACTAAATCTTAAATAACTTAAAAACGATTTATTTTAGGTATAGGAACATGTATAATCAAAAAGTAACGAATTAAAAAGCCTTTCCTCTAGTGACATAAAAAAGTAGGTTTCCATTTGAAAAAAATGATTTATGATTGTTTTTAATCTCTCAATTTCATGACAGCTACAGCCGATATTATATGACATTTAAACAATTTAATTTTTGAAATAGATAGCCACGTCTTCTCTTTATGTCCCAGCGGCTGTAGTAATCACTAAATTTGACATTTGAGCTATACAAATTTTTTTGACAGGCAGTTTTTTTCCGAAAAAAAATTTAATTTTTTTTTTCTCAAAAACGGTTAATGTTAGATATAGAGTATTTGATATCAAAATTCATAAAATTTTACAAAGAATATAAGCATGTAATAAAAAATTGGGGTATCCATTTAAAATAAGAAATGTGCTGTCAACTTCCAGTATTTCCGGAAGTGCCGCCATATTGAAAATATTTTTAATCGATAGATCTCATTGTGAAACAATGATGTGCAAAAATTCTCCGATATAGATATTGTAGTTCTCTAGAAACTTCTAATGCACGCTCAGCCTGTGCTTGTGTCAATAAAACATATTTTGGCTATGATTTGTTTTAATTTAGTTTTCATACACTATACCCGCAAATGTGCAATAGGAAGGGGGTGGTGATGTATATTTTTAGAGAGTTCTTTTTTTTTGCTTAATATCCCGGAATTTAGCTCTAAAAATCTGGCAACCCTACCAGTGACTGTAAAAACCTGTTCAACATATGAAATTTTTGTACAATAGGAACAAAAAAAAATATTTTAACTAATAACAAAAAAAAAAGAGATTCTTTACCGTTTTATGAGACAACTGAAGACAGAAAAAAACGGCGTCAGGGATGGCTATGAAATGAAGATTGCTGTCATTTTATATGAAAAATTTAATGGGAAAGGTCATTGATGATCATTTCCAAACCAGTTGTACGCCGTTTTTTTTATTATATGGTACTTACCTTGAAACGATATTTGTATTCACGTTCGTCATAGTAAATTTTTCTATATTTATTCACAAACTCATTAAAAGATAACTGAACGTCTAATGTATCTTCTATTTCATTTGATAGTCTATTATATATGTACGTATATATCTCGTCATCATTTGAGCATTTAATCTTCATATTTAATCTATATCCTGGCGAACGTTGATCAAAAACATCTAGATCGCAATTGGTATATTTTCTTATATCTGGACACACCAGGAATGAACTGCGATAAAGATTGACTTTTTGACAAAAAGCTATATCCAAATTAATGTGTACTTGTGTCGAATTTTTAGTGACTTGTCTAATCTTCTTTAGTTCATATCCACTATTCTTTGGTGTTTTAGATGACAAATATTCCAGAATTATTTTGACAAATTTTTTAGTATCTTCATCTATTATGTTTGAATGTAATAATTGTTTCCTTCTATAAATTGTGTCTACAATATAAAAAAATCACAATACTGAATGACATATTACTTATTAGCACATAATTTAAGAAATAATACTATTACGTTACATATATATGTAGTACTTCTTACGTAACTTTTCTATTTTTATCATTTGATATTACACCGGGTGCGTCTCGAAAGTGGTATATGATATAAATTATGATTGATTGGCGTGTTCAATTGTTTTACTTCCTGTTTCACAGGAAATGACTACAACTTATGATTTCTAAATGGCACCCTCTGTATATTTCTACTTTATTCGATAGAAAATGACACTCTGAACAGAATGGGATATCATACGTCGACTTTAGACATTTTCGGTAAATACAAATCGTCTTTTAAATTTCAATCTAGAGTGCCATAGCTGTGTTAAATCACTAATTTTTAATCAAGGAGCCTGGGAAAAATAGGTTTGATGGTCTAAAGTTTCTCATGTCTTGTCCTGGCCCTTTAAAATATGCCCTAATCGTATTTTCAATCATATCTCAATTTTTTAAGTGTAATAACGGTGGCTCATTAGCATATTTGGAAAAGCATTTTTTTACGAATAATTTGGTACCCCACACTTGGTATTTCGAGTCAAATTGTCATTATGAACCGCATCTTACAATTTCAAATACACCATATGCGAAAATGTCAAAAATTGTCATTCTATTCAGAGTATCATTTTCTATCGAATAAAGTAGAAATATACCGAGAGTGGCATTTAAAAATCAAAAATTAGTCATTTTAAAGTTAGTAGTAACTTCCGGCTAAACAGGAAGTAACCAAAACATTTGAATACGTCAATCAATCCTAATTTATGTCGAATACTACCATACCTAATATCGTTTTTTTATCTGAAGAAATATAAAAGTTATAGCGGTGAGCCACTTTTGAGACGCACTTTTAAATGATTTGTCATATTTTAGACTAAAATTTTAATACCGCCGGCTTTCAAGTTCTGATTAGTTGATGGCTAATATCAGGGATAAACGTGTAAAGGCCATAGTGAAAAAAAAATAGTTTTACACATACAAAGAAACATTTAATAAATAGCAAAAAATTAATTTTTCGAGTTAGTAAAGGTCCTCTATAAACACTCTCTTATTGATGACTGTTGAAATAAACATTATATCCCGACAAACATCAAAACATAAAAGTGTCAAAAAGGTCAGAAGTTTAAATCCCATTCCTATTCCTTGTATCGAATGTTCAGTCCCTGTTCAACGTCACGTCATACAAATATTTTGTCGAACTCTCTCAATCACTTGACAACCAGATCAAAGAGATGGGTGACGTCGTTACGACATTTCGTAAATTACTGCATATTCTTTTTAGTAATTGACATTGTCATTTGACTTTGGTGTTATAATTTTATTGACGTATATCAATCAATATCAAAATTAAAAATCGATTGTTGCTGTCAAACAAAATTCAAATATTTTTATTGCAGAAATGCATCAAAGATTTAATCAAAATCAAAGACAAATTGTAAGCTTAGCTTTAGTAATTGACAACAATTACTAAAAATATAGACTTATTATTTAACTGATACGTGTATTTATTACTTTGAAAATATTTGTCATATTATCTCAATATCCTTTTTATATAAATTTTAAACAAAAATTAAGGTAATTGTTGCATATACGGTTTTCGGCTATTTTTGGTTTATATGGGAACATTTTTATATACTCACATTCTATTGTCCATAGAGATTGCAAATATACTGGGGGAGGAGAGAAATTGTGTTTCTTTAAGTATTTTTTCAACCAAACAAACTTACTCATAACACACCCATTTTACAATCCTTTAATGTAAAATTTCTTCAAAAAAACTGAAGAACTGTTTTATTCAGAACACATTCAGAAATCATTGGCAGGTTACATTGAAGGATATGCTGACAGTAGTAAAGGTGAAGGTTGAATTTTGACAAACATTGTGGATTGATACATGGTTGCCAAATCAGCTAGTAAATTGTCTGGAATTTCACGCATCCTTTTCTTAGGGAAAAATGATAGGTTTTAAAATGTTTTTATTTAATTTTTTACTTGATTTAACAAATTGGCTAAATTGCCGCTAGCGGTATAGTTGGTTTGGTTTTGGTTGGTATTGGTTGGTTTGGTTTAGATTGGTTTGATTTTGGTTGGGTTGGTCTTGTCTGGTTTGATTCTTTTGTTTTTTTTAGTATGTTAGAAAATTATTTCTCTTATTTTACCGAAAATTGCATTTTTTTCAACTTAAGCTCTTTATTTTATACACTATTCATTTTATAGATAATTTGTTAATTTTGAGGGCCATAAAGTGAAACAAATAAAATATTCTGAAATCTAATACATTCTTTGACGAAATGGCTATTTTTATAATAAAAATACAAAAACAAAAATTTTAAAGAAAATTCAGTGGGACTGGCAACACTGCTTTCCATTCTGCCGGTGTCATGTCAAATCATGTGTTAAAATTCTCATAACGTCAAATATGTGTCAAATATTAAATTAAAATATTTTGAAATTCAGTGCATAATCTATATATTCTCTACAATTTTTTTAAATGGAAAATGCGATTTTTCCATATTTGTATGTCATGTTTTGCCAGTTTGTACGCTTTTACCCCGCCCAGCACCCCTATTCGCTCCCCGGGCCCGTAAGTTTGTTTGGTAGAAAAAATACTTAAAGAAACACAATTTCTCTTCTCCCCCAGCATATTTGCAATCTCTAAGGTCAATAGAATGTGAGTATATGATTTTTTTCCATATAATACAAAAATAGCCGAAAACCGTATATGCAACTGTTACCAAAATTAAATCATATAACGATAAATCCTTTTTTAAAAATGTTTTAAATAAGTATACAGAAAAGTCCACAGACTTCGAGACATAGAAAAATCAAGTCCATTTAGCGTGTGTCCAAATTTTGACAAGTTTTCAAAAATGACAGTTTTGTTTAGACTGACGTCATTGACGTTTAATTTCATTTTATTTAAACTTGATAAGTTCGAAATTATTTATCTCAGATTCTTGAATTGCATTTAAAAATGAATGTGTATCACGTTAATGAAAAAATTCAGATAATTAAGTGAATTTATCAGAACAAGTCGATTGAAGAATAAAAACGGGATTCAGACAAGCTTTCGAGAATAGACCGGTGCCTTCAAAAGCCTCCATTCACAGGATAAAAGAAATTTTTGAAAAATATGGCTGTGTTACTCCCCACATGCATAAGAAACCAAAAATTGAAGATAATTCTCGTGAGGAAACAGAAGTCTTAATATAAAATCTAAAATTTTCGACCATGAAGAATTTCAAAACTTTGTTAAGGCAGAAGATATTTAATGCCTTGACACTGATATGTTATTCAATGTGAGGAGGGGATTTTATGACCGTTTGGGTTATTGTTTAATGCAAGAGGGAGGCATTTTTGAATAATTTTTGTAATTTTTTAAATTTCATTATCCTGTTTTTTTACCGTTTACCCATTACCTACCTTGACGAACATGGGAAAACAAAGGTCCTTTTCAGGACCACAAATATTTTGATTGGGAAATTTGTTACTTTTATTTTTTTGGTTTAAAAAAACAAAAGTTGTTAATATAATACCAATTTAAAAGTGTTTTAGTAGTTTTAATACACACTATGATAGAACATTTATTATTATTATAATGTACATTATTAATAATATTATTCATTCGAAATGACATTAAGGCCCAATTGCCACCAATGATTTAAATTTTTCTTAAAGATAAGTAGAGCTAATGAGCTGTATTTATATTTACTTTAATATTCACCTTAAATGAGGAAATTTGACTGATACAATTTTTGAATTTGAATTGTTTTTAATGATACCAACAATTTTAGTTCAATTTTTAATAAAATTTATTAATATTAATAAAAATCCAAGAGAATTGAAACCTCTTTTAGCGATTTATAACATTCTCAAATGAATTACAGGTGCCCTTATTTTCTATGAAAACCACACAGCTTTTTTCATAGTGGCTGCAATTGCTATAAAAACATAAATGAATGAATAGGGACACTCTTTATTCTCTTAGTTTCATAGTAATTACGTTTTTAAAGAAAAAGTCACAGTTATAACTCGACTTAAGCTAAGAAGACCTTAAATATCGCGGTGCAATTGGCCATACATTAATGTCAAAACTAATTTTTTAAGGCGTGGAAATTGCGACACACGCTAAATAAAATAAAATAAAATAATCTTTATTACATGCACTTATTACAAGCGTTACTTCGAATATAAATTAGTTCCAAGAGATACAGAGGATGTTGGGTAGTTAGAATTTTGTGTATTAGGCAACTCATCTGAAGATATCGTTTTTGTGCCATATTACAATGAAAAATCTCCTGTATATGTTAGCTTACATGATCTCTCCTTGTCAACCCTCTTACAAACCTGACACAGGAGTTTTGCAATTTTTGAATTCGATACTTGTTAAACTGAGTTAGGAACGAACCATAGACTATGTTTAGGTAGCCCGGTATAGAAAGGATCAAACTGTCAGCAAGGAGTCTCTCGGAATCGAAAGATAAAATATTTTTAAATTCATAAATTGATTTTAGTTTGTAGTATGATCGCTGACAGACATAACTTACATGCTTATTGAATGTCAGTTTAGTGTCCATAATGAGACCAAGATTTTTGACCTCATTAGTCCAATCAATTTTAACATTATTTAGAAAGATATTGTGATTTGTTGGGTCCAGATCATTGCGTGAAAAAAGAATTGCCTGTGTTTTGGTTGGGTTTATGAGAAGAGAATTTGCAGATGCCCAGTTTGAAATAGACTTAAGGTCCAAGTTAATTAGGTCTACATTTTCAGAGAGGCGAGAAAGAGGCGATGGTAGGTAAACTTGAAGATCGTCCGCATATAGGTGGTATTGACAAAACTTGATGTGTTGAACGAGATCTGATGTAAAAACTATGAAGAGAAGCGGCCCCAGGCTAGAAGCCCCAGGCATGCCGCAGGGGCCCAAGCGGCCCCTGCGGCACGCCCCTCCCCACAGTAGCCCATTCCGAAAGCTCTACATCATCCCCCCCAACCAATCTGACCGCCTGCTTCCTATTTTGAAGATAGCTTTCAAACCAGCCATTTACGCTTAACTGATAATGATTTAATTTAGCTAGTAATAATTCGGTGTCTAGACTATCAAAAGCTTTTGTCATATCTATCAAGACCGAGGTAACGCTATCAAACGCTGAACTTATATTACTAGTGACCTTTAACAATGCTGTGGTACAGCTATGATAGGGTAGAAATCCAGATTGTAATTTTGGTAACATAGTTTTAGTATAAATGAAGTTCAGCGTTTGGTGTTTTACTATTTTTGCTAAAATTTTTGAGGCAGCAGGTAAGATACTAATGGGCCGAAGCTCACAAGTAGTAGAAGGATTGTCTACTTTGGGCACAGGTACTACAAGAGCCATTTTCCAGATATCCGGTACTTTGCCAGTCTCAAGAGAAAAATTAATAATATTTACAAGTGGTTTAAGACAGGCAATACACATCTTACAACATTTTAATGGAGATACCATCGACTCCAATGGCGTTGCTCTTGATACCATTAATGCATTTTAAAATTTCATCCTCTGTTACTAGCTCAAATACGAACTGTTCCCCAACAGAAACTGAATTGAGAAAGCCATCCAATACCCCTTGGCTAACATTGGTTTGTGGAACAGCATTTATAAAGCTTGGTTTATAGTGTTGGGGTCTTTTAGATCTTTGGGAATGTCTTTTGGGGTTTTATTTATGATTTTCCAACTGGATAATTTATCCCATATATTTTTGTTTTTATTACCATTAGAGCAATTGCCCAATTCAGTTGAATAATAAGCTTTCTTTTCAGCTTTAATTATACTGGCAGTAAGATTTTTAAACTGAAGATAGTAGCTCTTGATGGCCAATGTTTTTTGCATTTTAAATTTCCTGAAGGCTTTATGTTTAAGTTCAATAATTTTTTTACGTTGTAGGTTAACCAAGGTGGTCTCGGCTCTCTCAAAACAGCAGTCCTGATAGGGCAGTAAGCATTAAAAAGGGCTATTACGCTATTATCAAATATACCTATCTAACTTAGTATTTATACATCAGTCCTATAGAGGTTCTGCCAATCAATAGAGTACAGGTCATTCAGAAATTCTTCAGAGTGTGCCACTTTTAGACTCCTACTTTCAAACAACTTTACTAGTTTTGTGCAGTTTTTCACACTTAAGCTTACAATAGACAGCTTCATAATCTGTCTGTATTGGTTCACAGGTTACCTCACTACTTAAAATTAAGTCACTTTTAATCACTAGTAAAGATTCACGGTTAAGAGATATGCGGGTGGGATCACCCAATTAACTGAACTAAATTAAAAGACTTAAGTATATCACAGATAAAATTGCACTCTGGAGTTAAGAGTCTAACATGTTAATATTAAAATCACCAGTACATATACAAACATCACTTTCACAAATTATATCGGGTAGGACATCATACAAACAGTACACATTGTTAAAATGAACTGATGGTGGTCGATAGACAATACCAACAGTCACCTTCCTTTTATTAAGCATTATTTGTAGCCACAATTGGTCGATGCCATTATTAGCATCTGGCAATGCATGTACTTGAAGTTTAAAATTTGTACTTACATAAGCTGCTATATCTTGTCTATATAAGCCGTCTCTATCAGCGCTTTCATATGAACAATTTCACATGGGCGCGTATGCTCCGTCCGACGGAGTTTGTTCGACGGCTATCTTGAAAAAACACGACGGACAGTCCGTCGCGGACGGTCCGTCGCATGTGAAAACGCTGTATCTTGTCGATATAATTTAAAATTATCAATTTCATATAGGCTTGAGGGCACAGAGCTATTTAACCATGTTTCAGAAATTGTAATAATGTTATAAGAGGATGACTGAATAAACTCTCGGACGTCTGAAAATTTGTTACACATTGACCATGGATTGATGTGGGCAATATGTAACGATTCCTCGCTTTGATTCGACAGGCATATGGGCAGCTTCGATTTCACTATTATTTCTTCCTCTGGAACTGGGATTTTCTTTAAAAATTCCGACCACGGCCATGTAGATAAAGGTTATCATTTGGCTTTGCACTGGATTTGTAAGTGTTAACATAACAACCATCTGGCCAAAAATCATTTGAGAGGTAATGTGCTTGTAGTTCTTCAGGGACACCCAACCGGAATGCAGCACTGTTTGGTTTTTTATACTTCGAAGGTAGACGATGACATTGGTAGACATCCGAGAACTGAGGGTCCAGAACCGAAAGAATATCATCAGGAGTAGTGTTTATGTCTAGATTAGAAACATAGATCCAGGCAAATTTAGCTATTCGTTCACCAATGTTTTTATTTGCTACCTTGGGGTCCGCTGCAAATTTTACCAGAGATACTGCGGGTTTCAGGTTTGCTTTCAGGTTTTCAGTTTCAGGTTGTGGCCATGATGGAGTAGTATTTGGGTTTGGGTTGCCCAATAGAGCCTTATCATTTTTGTTGTCCTTCTGTAGTAAAAAACCGACCAACTCCTTGTTTGCACTTTCTATTGCATCAGTGACCGCATTCAGTTTGGTTGCCATTTGCTCTGTATAAGCAGATAGGCACTTTTCAGCAACCATAACAAGTTTTAATGACATTTGGTCGGCTTGCCTGCCTAGGCGCTCACCAATAGCAGCCAGCAGGGTGGCACAACCATTTCCCTATATATTCGTGAATTTTTCCTTAGCCTTCTTTTAAATCTGCTTCTCCCGAAATCCCGTCTCTCTTAAGTCCACAGCCTCCACTTCCTCGAGCCCCTCCTTCAATAATTGTCCCACTGGATTGGATGGTACTGCGTTGCCTTGTGGCTTTAGGCTGCCAACAAGCATTTCCAGTTGCTGTAACCTATCTTCCATTTGAAAGCATCGCGGGAGGTCCTGAAAGCCATGGATGCACGATCCGCAGACAAACATGAGTGTTCGTCCCTTCATTGGAATAACTCTTATTTATGAGGCTTTGATTCCAGAGCAGTTGGCGCAGATTATATTTCGACAAATATCACACGGACAGCCAAACAACTCGTTTTTATCTTCTTTTAAAACACAGTTTTCCTTGCACAGGGAGGCAAGGAAAACTTTTTCCAAGGGTAAGGAAATTTTTCCCTGCCTTGTTTTGTTTTGGTTTTTAGGTTAGTTTTTCTGAATTTTCAAATATATGTTATAAAATTAATTTATAACATTTAAAAATAATTTTTGTAAACACGACGTGTCTTTTTTACAAAAAAAATGTGTCGAATTTTAAAATTTAAATAAATTGTCTGGAAAAAATTCAGGTATTTCCTGACGCCACTTGACACTTCGGCAATATCTAATACTATCTTCTGGACTTGATTTTTCCTATGTCTCGAAGTCTGTGGACCTTTCTGTATATGATATAAAAAGTAAAATACTACTTTGAAAAATAGCTATGATGAATGGGCAACACATAGAACCAGTAACCAGGGAAACATTAAAATATGTTTTGACATTGAAAAGTCAAAACAATAAAAAAAATTAATTAATGCCTCAATGCCACTTTTTGTACTTTTCGTATACTCTTTGCTGTTTGAGCCGTGATAATAAAGAGTAAGAGTTGATGTGGATTTCCGACGATATTTTAGATTTGTGTTCTTTATAAAAGTTTTTTTGTAGTGTAATAAAGTTAGTGGATAAATAGACATTATGACTAATAAAAGTGTTAGCTAATACCGTATGATAAAAAATGGCGTCCAGTTGGCTTGGAAATGACGATCGATGACATTTCTCATATAATTTTACATATGAAATGACAGCGATCTTCATTTCATAGCCATCGTTGACGCCGTTTTTATTCGATCATATGGTATGTGAAACTGTCCGCAATAAGAAAAAGCTTATCCTTAAAAGAACTCCACTATACTAAAAGTATGAAAACCTCTGAAGTATATTCCATATTTTTAAAAAACAAGATATGTGTTATTTAAAATCGTTTTTTAAACCGACTTTTATTCATTGAAATATATATTTATGTTAGGTAACTTAATCACTTTAAACATTATTAGGCAATTTACCTTTTTTTTTCTTCAAATAATTAATATACTAATAAATAGTATCCAATAAATAATTAATATTCGAATAACTAATATTATTTTCTCTAATTTATATATTCATATTTTTTTTGTGACATAAAAATGACATATGCCCAAAAGAACAACAGGCGATTGGTCAATCAGTGTCAAAGACAAAGATAATCAGAGAGTCGAATGTCGCTGATGTGTCTTCAACAAAAATGAGGCGAATTTACTTATTCACGAAGTTTATAAGATCTAAGATAATATAGGAACGTACTTAAAATTTTCTAAACAATATGAACTGATTTCAGACACACCCTAAAAATCATATTTGACATATAATGATGACGTAACGATGAACGATGGCTGAACAGTCCTTATCTCCGCTTTTATCCCTTGTAATCAAGATATCAATCTTATCAATCAATATCCCTTATAATCAAGTAAGTTTATAATTTTATTTCAAATATGAAATACAAATTCAAACCAATAGGTTTGAATTTGTATTTACTAAATTTCCTACAGAGGTAACAAATTATATCTTACCTATCTCTCTTTTACGTCTCTCTGCCTTTGCTTTTGTCTTAAAATTGTGGACTTTACTTGGACATTTTACAGTGTATTCCCGACTATTCAGCCAAATTCTTTCCCATACTTCAACAACACATTCTTCTGGCTCGTGTCCATCTAACAATCCACAAGATTGTACGTCCTTACTTTCATCATCCTTTTTACAATCAGATAATCCTAAATTAACTGTGATTACGTATTTCTGACCAGCCACTACTTGAGAGGTTGCCGAAATAACCTATAAAATTAAATGTGATTAGAAAGTAGAAATAGCAAATAGAGTTATAATATGACTTTAAAACGAATTAATACCGAAAATGTATACATAATTTACTTCCGCTCTGCAAACAGTGGCGTAGCAAGGCGGGGGCGGTGGGGGCGGGCGGCGAACCTCCAAGTACTTGCGAAGCGATGAAAAAATTGTTATAAGGCGGCGAACGGATTCTGTAGAGGCGGCAAACCTCCCTCCTAGAGGCTCTCCGCCTCGGGCGCCCCTAAGCCACGCTACGCCACTGTCTGCAAATATCCCTTTTTTACAGTAAAATAAGTTTATAATATATATTTATATTTGAATATTGGTTTAAACTTGGGTACAGAATAATGTATTTAGGATTTGGCATAGAATCCAAAAAGCATAAAATATATAGATGGTTCTGTTAAAAATAAACAAAGAGTTAGTAGAAGTACAGATTAGGTATACTATATGTATACAGATAAAAATCTGCTTGTCCCTAATTCGTGGTACGAAAATTGTTTTTATGACGATGACCAAACGAGTAAAATTTCCTGTGCGCGAAAATAAACTCGCGTTTAAACAGCGTAATAACTAGGCCGGTCAGGCGCTGTGCACAATTTTAGGGGCCATAAGTGGACGTGCTATGTGCGCAAACTAGTAATCTAACTAGTGCGCGACTCCGAAAATTGGAACCACAAAAAACAATGCTCTTGACGATAAGTTTATAATCTGTGGTAGAAGTCATTAGTAGTTTCAAAGCTAAAATATTCTATGTGGTCGTTTCCGCTTAACCAGGATGTGAATAGAATATTTTAACCTCGAAATCCTAACCTAAAAAAGCTGTTTTTACCAAATACTTTTAAAATAAAGTATACGGAGGGTACCGCTTAAATTCCTGTCCCGATGTTGAAGGATGGCTACAGAATTTCAATGCATTTCCTACATAAATCTATCCTTGTGTTGTAGGGGGTTTGACTAAACAAGGACGAACCTATGTCTTGAAACCATTCGACTCGATTTTCTGTCCTCCTTCAATACTGGGACGTAAATCCTCTCATTGCTCTTATGGGGAGGCCGTCGTATATTTTATTTAAACGTGTTTGGTTTTTACTGACTAAAGAAACAAAATATTGATTATCCTGTTGGTAGATCCTAATACGCCACGATGGGAAAAGGACATACATAGCTTTGAATCAGAATGCATAAAAACTTACATTTATAACCTTAAGTTTATGTTGTTCTTGACTTGTTGAATCTAAATGTGTTAAAGCAGCTTGAATATAAGGTTGAATTCTTGAATCATCATTAGAAATACTGCCAGGCGCTCCAACCGCACCTATTGGAGATGCTCTGCGCCTGTAGCGACTATAATTTGTCCTGTTTCTGTCGTTTGCATCTTTCTTGATATTTTGGCACTGAGACTTAACTACTTTTGGATTTGAATAGTCGTCATCTACGTGAACTTGGACTTTACAAATTTTAGTTGCGTTAGTATACAGCTTTTCCCTGCAACTTTCATGATGATCTCCTTCGAGACAATGGGAAATTCCAAGTCTTAGAATGATTTGATAATATATGCCGTCTAGTTTTAATTTCTTGGCACCTAAAATCTGCAGTATTACTCTCTTATGGTGGTCTTCGTCAATGCTGTCTAAGGTGGAAGCAGCAAAGGTTGCTAGATCTCTCACAATTGACTGAAAAATAAATATTTAAAAAGATAATTTAAAAAGATAGAAAATGTAATTCAGTAAACCTTTTCTTCATGAGATATTTTTTCCATTTGTCCAATTGATCTCTTATGTCTATGATTATTTTTCTCTTCATCACTACTACTGCTGCTGCTGCTACTATCATTACCATTATTTTCTTCATGTCCATTGTGTCCTTTAGCACCTTTACATTTTTTGCTCTCGCAAGAATTTTCAATCTTGTTAGATTTTTCATTATTATTATTATTATTTTTCTCATCTTCTTCGCTACTAGAACTGCTGCTGGAATCTTCATTGTCTCTTTTGGCTTCTCTTTTTGTTCTGAAAATGTTTATTAAGTTAAAATTATGTAACCAAACGCAAAACTAAGTTTGAACACATTGGAAATAATATTTTATCAGAAATTAAATAAACATATAAGGTATAAACAAAGTATCTGTAGCAATAGGATAGTCACTACTAAATAAATAATTGATATTCATTTCATTTTCACGTTACTGGTTTATAAGAGTCAATATGGACTCAACTATTTTAATTTTTTTAAGGATATTATATTTTTGCTGTACCCATAACAAATAAAGTAAAATAAAAAAGTGTCAAAAGTATTTGTCCCAAGTAATTGGTTTAATAGATTAAAAATATTAATTGTATCATGTTATGTTGATAATACTGAAAATATTGTCAGAATTTCAATAAATCCTGTTACAAATATACTTTTAAATAATATCTGCAGCAAAAAAAACCTTCGACTTGGAAAAGAAAGCAAGAAAATTTCGAGTATTTAATTTTAAATTTCACAATCAACTTATTCATAAAAAATTCAGTGAAATCAAAGTTTATATCCAGATGTATCTATAAAACTGCGCCTATGACTTTTCTCCCATTACATCACGCATAAACCGTTATACGCTTTCTTTTCTCAAACGTAATGCCATAAATCATATGGTTAGCACAAGTAACATAAAAAGTCATGAACAAACTACAATATGACCGAAAAAACGGCGTCAGCGATGGCTATGAAATGAAGATCGCTGTCATTTTATATGCAAAATTAATGAGGAATGTCTTCGACCATCATTTCCAGGGCAAATAGACGCCGTTTTTTTATCATACGGGATTATATTACATACAGGGTACGGCAATAGTGCGTCGGGCATCTGAAGCTCCTAAAATAAAAAAACTTAGTAATTTTATTTAAGTGCAAACCTAAAGTATATATTAGGATGTATTTGAGGAAAATAATTTAACCTCTACAGGGTGACTCAAAAAAGAGTGAGTGGATCAGGATGATTTTTTTTAAATGGAACACCCTGTATATTATTAAATTTTTGGCTTCCTTTCTGATCACTTTACATAATCTTAAGATATTTTTAAATAAGTTTTGATAGTTTCAGAGATATTAATAAATAAATATTTGTTTCAGCCTTTTTCAAAAAAATTATTAAAAATACAAGAACTGTCCTGAAATCAAAACTATATGACGCTTCGTCCTACGTGGGAGACAAAAGCGCGCGATTGGGGCGGTGCGAGCGACGCGTATTTATCAAACAACGTTTTCTTACGAAGCTGTCCTAAGTAGGAGATGCGCGCGACTGAAGCGGTATCATAGGCGATTCAAATATGTCGCGCTCATCGCCTTCTGTTGTCGCACGCGTCGCCCGCTCACTTTTGTCTCCCACGTAGGACGAAGAGTTAGGTGTTTACTTTAGATGGTCTGTACTTACTTTGCTATAAATATCGTTAATTTTTATAAAATTTTAAATCATACAGGATGTTCGAAAATTCTACGCGAAACTTTCTAAAATATAAAATAAATTTTCTTCGTTTTTTTTTAAATGGAACACCCTGTATATTATTTTTTTTAGTAAATGGAGATTTCAAAAATGGACGTTTTTTGTATTTAGAGTATTTCAAAATTTTTAACGGCTTCGCAGATACTCGCGGTATTATTTCTTATGGCTCTTTCAACGGTAAAATACGAGAGAAAAATCATTGGGTTTACTATGGAAAATGCCATATGTAACCGCAATATAAAATCGCGAATATCTGCAAAACCGTTAATAATTTTGAAATACTCTAAATGCAAAAAATGTTCATTCAATGTTTTTGGCTCTCCATTTAGTAAAAAAATAATATAAAGGGTGTTCCATCTAAAAAAAAACCGAAGAAAATCTATTTTATATTTTAGAAAGTCTGGCGTAGAATTTTGAACATCCTGTATGATTTAAGATTACGATATTTATAGAAAAGTAAGTACAGACCATCTAACGTAAATACATAATATAGTTTTGATTTCAGGACAGCTCTTGTATTTTTAATAATTTTTTTAAAAAAAGCTGAAAAATATATGTATATTTTTTATGTATTTATTAATATCTCTGAAACTACCGAAATATATCTACTCATATCTTAGGATTATGTAAAGTGATCTGAAAGGAAGCCAAAAATGCAATAATATACAGGGTGTTCCATTTTACAAAAAATCATCCCGATCCACTCACTTTTCTGAGCGAAGAGCGAACCTTGAAGAAGTTAAAATATTTTCCTGAAATACATCCTGGTACATACTTTAGGTTAGCACTTAAACAACATTTCCAAGTTTTTTATTCTAGGAGCTACAGATGCCCGACGCACTATTGCCGGACCCTTACATTATTTAGAAGTAAAAAAATATTGAGTATCTACCTAAGAGAAGTTTTAATATGTGATTGTTTTTTATTTTCCTCTGAACTTTCTTCAGGACTATTGCTTGTTTCTCTTTTAACAACACCAACAGGAAGGGTAACTGTTTCAAGAGTTGCTGCCTGTTCTACTTGTACCTTGCTTATTGTTATATTATTTTTATCAGCTACTTTATCTTCTTCAGAACTAGAACTTGACTCAGCACTTTCATCCCTTCTCTTTCTTATTTGTTCGGTTGTTGCTATTGGCTCTATGGGGTGCTTACTTAATGTAGTATTGTTCCTGTTGGCTACATTGTCTTCTTCTGAACTAGATTTAGACTCAGGACTGTCATCCCTTCTATATCTTACTTGCTCAAAGTCAGTCATTACATCGGGCCATTGTGGATTGTAAAAATCTTGGTTGTTGGTAAACTCAATTCCAGGGTCTCTTATAGATTCCCTGGGTGGCTGATAAATAGTAAGGACTGGTTCTTCATTTGTATATTGCATGTTACTATATAATGTATTTTGCGAATCAGCATTTAAAGGTTCAATTTTAAGATCTGGATCTTTCATGTACTGAGGAACAAACAATGATTCAGCAACTAAAGAAAATGAAAAATATTAAAATTTGTACTAGTGTCCAAGAAAGGATACTGTTGTACTTCTCATAATTTCAGGATGTTCAATAGATTTAGAAGTTTCAATCTGATTTGTATTCCTATCTTGGGAAGCACTTGATGCTTGATCAGTAAGGATCTGAGATTCTAAATCAGCTAACCAAGCATTATTATCTTCATCAATCGCACTATGGCTGGGTACATGAGGTAAAGATGTATCCTCTGAAGAAGGGCTGTCACCTTCAATTTAATTATACTGAATGTATCACCTACAAAATATATATTTACATACTAAATACTTACTTCTGTGTTCTACAATTTCATTCTGAGCATCATTTGTACCATAAGAATCAACTGGGGCAAACTCTTGAGAGACTGTACAGTTATTATTAATAATGTGTTTGCCTCTATGAATCCAGGGTTGTTGTATGAAATTAATTTCACAGATAAAGGTATCTGAATTAGTATCAAGAGGACATGGTGCTGACATATCAGCATTGGTAGGACAAGTAGTGGGAGCAAATTCTGCAACTAAAATGTATTTAACTCCATTCACAATCTGTTGTTGTAATTTTCTAATATTAGTGACTTTATGTCTTTGATTTCTTTCACTTTCAATATGCCTTGTAGCGGTATATATTAGTTCATCTACACCTTGAGCATTAGGATTCAAGTCAAAAGGACATCCCAAACATGGAGCTTCTGCGCGCGTGGCTATAAAATCTGGTTTTTCTTGCTCAGGAGACATGGCTTCATTACTTAATTCAATCTGTAATTATTAAAATATGATTTGATACACTGTATGTATATATACCAAAAATATAATTTTCTGACTAGCCTGAAGTTAAAATTTGATAAACTTAATGTGATCAAAAAAAGATCCACAAAACACTTATTTATTTAAAAAAATGGTCTATATAAATTTTATCTAGTAATAACAATATACCTTGCTATTTTGTCCTTGAGGGTCTACTGAAGCAACTACAGGTGCTTTAACTTTTACTACATCTTCTTCATCTACTGAACTATCAAATTTGGGACTACATCTTACATCACTTAGAATTTCATAAGATGCTATTTTTTCAGGTGTTTGACCAATAAAGGCATTGCATATAAGTGAATGTTCATTACAAGGAATTTCTGGATATTTATTAATACAGTCTACATCAATTTCAATTGTTACTTCAACAATGTCAGCCTATTAATAAAAATACATTATAAAATAATTTATTTCATATTACTGGGTTAAAAAATAATAAAATTATTACAAAACAGAGGGAAGAAAGACATTTTGTTTAAATATAAACCAACAGCAAGTGATGATGTAGCAAGAAGGAAGTGGCAACCTACAACTTCCTTAATTTTAATTTATAATTATGTACATACTGATTTTCTTAAATAAGACTAAATTTTCTTTAATAAGTTTCCATATTAGATTTCTACATTATAAATTCAATTTTTATTCAAACAAAAGCCTCATTTTATAGAATGATAGTGGTCCTAAAATAGATCTAAAATTTAAAGATAAAGATTTTCTTTTACTCTAAATAAGTGATATTGGCACATTTGTTTAAGTTAACTTCTAGATATCAGAGGTCAATATGGCCAAAATAAAACAATTTCGAGATAAACAAAAGTTATTCCTCCACTAGATTGATAAAAATAAAACCTTTAAATATATAACCAAAATGCATATTTACTTATAATAAAAGATTCTTTGTCCTTACCCTATTTTGAGCATTAATGAGAGATCCTTTTTTGTAGGCATAAAGTTTATTTGGTTTAGCATTTAAATAATTTAAAACTGAGTTGATATGAGATGAATATGTTTCACTATGAGAAATATTGCCATCGTTTATCTCTTCAGAATTCACAAATAAAATGCAAATTGATAAACAAAGAATAATTGACTTTTTCAGTAACATCTTTACACCAACATAACACCGAATAAGACTGGCTATTTTTTCTTTATCTTCTGTTCTGAATCACGGGAATTAATAGTGCTAATTATTTTATTTATATAAATTACAAATGCGTATTTGTTTATTTATAGTACTGACACTCATCTGACACTGACACTCCGGCTGCCAAAAATTAGGTTGACGTTGACAACTTTGATGTTGATTTTTCATATATTTTATCGCATAATTTTTATATATGATACATATACTCAATGAACTACATATACTCTACACTCCCAGAGATAAGGAAGTACTCCCTTCTATATCTCTGTATCAACTCTGTACACTCCATAATTATGGCCCGTAATACCCTATACCACAGAATATCTAGCTACGCAACAGAAGCCTCGTTACATGTATAAAATTGTAGGTAGCAAAAGGAGACAGGCTTTAAAAGTCTGTCTCCAAATCAGATATTTTGATGTGGTAGTTTCGCTACTACATAATAGAGGGCAATAAATTTAAAAGAAAACAGTTTTCTACAAACAAAATTTTAAAAGAATTTTGTGCAGTGTTGCCATTGTGTAATTCATATCGTAATACTTCCTGATAAAGCCTACCCAACTTCAAATTTGCTACATCATTTAAACATATTAAAATAGATCAGAGCTGTTTTTTCAGTTTGCCATGTTAGTTGGAATTAAATCTTATGAGCTAAATTACAATCACTTCCTGACGTTTGATTGTATAATTGAATCCTGAATTTTCATTGTAATTCGGCGACAATATAATAAGTATTGTTCTAACTGTATATGTATGTATTATGATACCACTTCCTGACGTTCGATTGTGTTCATACCAAGTTCATATTGTATAATCGGAAAAAACGGCGTTAGCGATAGCTATGAAATGAATATCACTATCATTTTATATGTAAATTTATATGGGAAATGTCATCGATCGTCCTTTTACAGCCAACTGGACGCCGTTTTTTTTCTAGAAGCATATCAAGTGATACCATAATATAGTACTATATTACGATACATGGCGTCTCTGATTGGGCTTAAATTTGAAATACTACGTACCTTCGGTGATATTGTAATATTATGGTACCAAGGAGCATAATAAGAGGTACCATAATATAGTACTATATTACGATACCATTTCCTGGCGTTCGATTGGACTTAAATTTGTTATACTACGTATCTTCGGTTACATTGTAATTGATGGTACTATGATGCATATAAAGTGGTACCTTAATATAGTACCATATTTCAATACCATTTCCTGGCGTTCGATTGAGCTCATATTTGATATATACTTGCGTATTTTTGATGACATTGCATTATTATGGTACCATGAAGCATATCAACTGGTACCATAATATAGTATTATATTACGTACATGGCGTTCGATTGGGCTTAAACTTGGGATACTACGTATTTTGGGTGACATTGTAATATGATGGTACTATGATGCATATAAAGTGGTACCTTAATATAGTACCATATTACGATACCATTTTCTGGCGTTCGATTGGGCTCAAACTTGGTACACTACGTATCTTCGGTTACATTGTAATATGATTGAACTATGATGTATATAAAGTGGTACCTTAATATAGTACCATATTACGATACCATTTCATGGCGTTCGATTGTTCTTAAATTTGGTATACCACGAATCTTCGGTGACATTGCAATATTATGGTACCTTAAAGTATATCGAGTGGTACCATAATATAGTACACTATTATGATATCATTTTCGGAGTTCGATTGGGCCCAGATTTGGTATACTTGCGTTTCTTTATAAAGATTTGTTTAATTAATAATTTTAATTTATTGTTCGATGTCGTGACAGCAACTTTTATGCCGAACTAATATATTATTAATTGTACCTGTGTCACTTTTTAAAATCTACCTAGGTCTATATAAATAACGTGGCAAACGGAAGGAATTTGTTATTATAGTATTTTTTAGTCAGTTAACATTTTTTGTACTGCATTTTAATAAATTATTTCCATTATTATTAAACTTATATTTCATTACTAACGTTCCAGCATTAATAAATATCACTATCAATCGCTCTGTATATTATTAATTTTAAAGGTAATTAAAGGTATTTTCTTAGTTAACATTATAAGGTAGTGTATATTAAAAATGTATATGTTTTGTAATAATATACTTAAAATTATTTTAATAATAAAGGAATAATTAATATAAGTGTACCTGACAAGAAAAGAAGAATAGAAAGAAACACATACTGCATTATACACAATAAAAAGATGGGATGCCAATTCAAGTCTTTTGGAATCTGGCAACTGTGCATATTAAAAGATCAGCCTACGGGCGGACTTTTTATTACTTCATCAGCTGTACATACTTAGATATTGGGTTAGATTCCGTTTCATATTTTGTCGGTTGATTTTTGGTTTTAACTTTTTGATTTTTGGTATTATTTATTATTGTAAAGTGCAAAAAACTAATTATTTTGGTGTTGAAGTGACATAAACTACTACCAGATATATGGTCACTCTCGGTTTCGCATAAAGAAATAGAAATTTTAAAAATTACACGTTGTGTAAGTGATTTAACCTAAAAGTGCCCATACATTTTTTACTTATCGTGATTTTTTGTGTGTGTTTTTTAAGACTCTAACAATTCATCAATAAAGCTTAAGTGGAGTGTGTGTTTTGTGCTATGCCTCATCTTTGTTGTGTTCCTGGTGGAAAGGATAGTTACTTATGGATAGTTATTATACTAGGCAGCCTAAAGTGTCCGGAAGAGCAAGAAAAGGTACGAGTTATAAATCAAGAGAATTTTATTGAAAATATTTAATAAATTTAAAAATAATATTCTCCCATGATGGTATTAATGAAAACTGGACAAGTATGTTTATTTTATTCATATTGTGGGAATCTCCACTCCAAGTGTTGCTTGGTTCCTTCGATAGATTCAAACACTAAGTTGGTATTATGATCTAGGGAAAAATAAAGAATATGTGTATTAAAGATCATGAAAAAGATTATTATTTTGAGTTCAAATTTTAAAAAAGATTTTTGTAAAGACAAGACTGATACAGTTTAAAAGAAGAATGTGTTTTTGTTTGATAATATATAATGTATGTATTATTTATAATACCAAATTAATATCAAATATTTAAGTGATGGCTGAATACAATATGAATAAAATAACAATAAAATTGGTATATTTGCATAATACAAAATTAAGTTTTAAGAATAAAGGTGTTACTAAAAATACTAAGAAATTCATATTTATTTGTTTTAATTGGTCTAATGTTATTTACATTTTATGTAAGAATTATACCGTATCATCGAAAAAAATCGGCGTCTAGTTGGCTTGGAAATGAACATCGATGACATGCCCTAAATAACTGTACACATAAAATAATTAACTAGAATTTTACAATCTTGGAAAATTTGATATTCTTGAATCTTGTTTCTAAATATACTAAATTTTTTGATTTTCTTGGGATTTAGGTTCGGGAAAAACGCTGATTAAGTTTTCATTTGGTTTTTCATTATTTTTATTTGGTTTAAAAAAAAAACGGTTCGGCTAACATTATAGCCTTCATCAGTGTTGTGTCATATGAAAAAAATAGTGTCGAATATAATCCAAAAAATTACATATAAAATATTCATACCACGCACATAATGTTTACTGCGTACTGCGTACTCCATAGTCAATGTAGATAATTTTAGTGTTAAGAATAATAATTTTAAAAAATATGTGGTCATGTTTTGATTAGTTTATATTAGTTTATTAATTGCAGTAAATATTATGAGGTGTGAATTATATTGTATATGTAATTTTTTGGATTATATTCGACACTATTTTTCTCATATGACACAACACTGATGAAGGCTATAGTTAGCCGAAACGTTTTTTTAAACCAAATAAAAATAATGAAAACCCAAATGAAAACTTAAATCAGCGTTTTTCCCGAACCTAAAAATCCCAAGAAAATCAAAAATTTTAGAATAATTTTACATATAAAATGCCAGCGATCTTCATTTCATAGCCATCGCTGACGCCTTTTTTAGATAATATTGTATTATTTGTAAATATAATTTTTCGAAGATTGATACTTGCAAGATATACATATAAATTTTGTGAATGCAAATAATAATACATCACTATTATTAGATATTGAATGTTTTTTGTTAAATTAGATCGATTTTCAAACCCCAAAATTTAAAATATATTTACATTTTACCCATTATGTTATGTACCTATACACTATTTGTACATCGTAAAACATTTGCTGCATTTGTATGGTTCATAGTTTATTTGCCAAAGTATTTATTACTATAAATAGGTATATATGTTGTAGTTATTAACTGTATATTATGTATATTTCATGTAAACTATATCATTTTTAAAATACAAACCAAAAATCTGAGGAATAATTATGTTTTCCATCTATTCTACAACATATTTATTAATCCGTTATATCTAACTAGCGTGACGTCATATATCTCGCCCGTAGGCTGATCTTTTAATAGAAGGCACTGGCCGAGCTATAAGGCCGTCGACAAAACGTCGATCCAAAACCGAAAGTTCAAAATTTCTAATTATATATTCTGATTATTAAAGTCCCTAGATATCTGATTATGATATTGTCGCGCCATCTAGTATTCTATTTGTGCAATTTTAGCTCTTTCATTTCGAGTATTTTTCTGTTGCGTAGCTAGATATTCTGTGCCTATACCAATAAATACCTTTATATTGCTTTATAATTACCTTAATAGGTATTACCCCTTAATATTTTTATGAGGAGGTAACATTTTACCTATAATGTTACTAATACCAAGGCTAATACCGTATGATCGAATAAAAACGGCGTCAATGATGGCTATGAAATGTAGATCGCTGTCATTTTATATGTAAAATTATATGGGAAATGGGTAAACTAAGGTAAAGGTGTGGATCCGGTGGCTGACCTTGAAGCCCATATTTGCTGCATTTGATCATCGATACTACGCAAGCGCACATCGTCGATGTTGCCAAATTGCAGTTTATTTTCGAATTCTTTGCAGTTCAAAATTATTTTTTTTTGAGT